ACTTCTTTGACCATAGCATTGCAACGGCGGAAGGCATCGTGCTCGAGCGGCGTCTGCGCGGGCGGGAGGCTACCGTCAACAAAGCATATCTTGTTCTTGGCCACAGGAGAATGTGTGATATCGATCACCCACTCACCATAATTGACGTCGGTGAGGAGTTCTCCGACGAAAAGATTGCTAGGGCTATCAGACTGATGGAGTTGAAGATGAGAGGGAAGACCAATCTGATTTTCAGCCATGATTTCCATGGTTGATTGGGAAACCTTGCTCGTGGAATCAACACCCTCTACCATTGAAAAGAAAGTTGTAGGATCTTAGCACAGGTCTGATACCATGTAAAATTCGAGAATCGCGGAAAGGAAATCAAGCACAAGACCAGTATTTATGTGGTTTCCTCGTTTAGATTGAACGAGACTAGTCCACGGAGAGATGTGCTCTAGGTGACGTTTATTATTTCTTGTTCTTTCACTCTTAGGTTTTCGGTACTAGCCCCATTGGTAACTTGTAGTAAACAATGACGAAAGTCACTTTTCGGTACTAGTCCCATTGGTAACTTGTAGTAAACAATGATGAAAGTCGTAAATGATAGTTAGTATACTCCTATTATCATGTATTCAACCTTCTTACCATATTGGTATGTTCATACCATCATGGTAAGCTTTCTTACCATATGGTATTAAATAGGAGCATGCTGATGTAGACAGGTTACTCATAGTTACTGACCTGATCCATTCCCCTCCACGAAGCTCCTGCTTTCATTTTGTGTCACAAATCACAATTCCTTTCTCATTATTCATCTTCCCTTATTTGCACCAAAATCCCGGGTGAGATCTTGCTTCTTTTCTTATGTAGCACCTTGCGTATGTTCCTCATTTCGAGCCGATTTGCTATTCCATTGTGATTTGCGGACAATCTGCATCCATGGCCCAAAACCGGCAGGGGTTCCGGTGTATCTTTGATCGGTGGCAAGCTGTTGATATGATCCGTCGAGGTCGCTAGCATTAGCAGAGGTACAAGTGACTTCGCAGGGCAATCATCTTCCGTATGATCGATTCAACCGCAAGAATAACAAATTGTCGAGATATTTTCATTTAGAACCTGCTGCCAGGCTCCGTCGAGCTGAATTCTTGTTGGAAGGGGATTAGTCATGTCTAACTCTATCGCTAGGCGAGCAAACTTGCCCCGTTTCAATCTCTCAGTATGATAATCAAGTTTGATAGTTCTTCCTACAAGATTCCCAATGGCAAACAAAACTTCCCTGTGATAGAAGTGAACAGGTAACTCCGTAAACTGAATCCAAGCGACACCCGATCTATTAGGCTTATCATATGTACGAAACGAGGGTGACCATTGATGAACAACTAAGTAATGTTCAAAGATGACATTGGGCCCTCCCGTCAGCGCTCTTAGATAGTCTTGATCATCTCCAAAAGTTGCCAAGATTTTGTCGTTATTGAGATCCATGATCTCGAGAGATCTAACCGGTTGCCACTTCCATCTTAGCTGAGAACATAAATAGGAGTAAGCGATAGAACGACCCAGGAGACGGACCACCAGGGTCTTCTTCCAGTGTCGGCAGAGCTTCTCTTTGAATCTGGAAGATAATTTCAATTCTGGATCCCCTTGGAAGAGGCATATTTCCATGTCGTTTGTACCCACGAAAGTCCACTGAGACAAACTCCTGGCTGTATCTTGATTGATCCCTGCCAAAGCTGGCTTGAAGTGCAAAGGTTGATTAGCGGTCGTGAAGGTCGAGCCTGCTTTCCCCACTGGTGTGGCAGGGTGCGGATACTATAACAACACCTCCTTTGTTGTTATAGTAACAACAAGGGTAAAAGGGTCCATTAACACAATATCTAACAAATTACAAAAAAAACAATATTCAGTTGCAACTGATCTCCTTCCTCGCGTAGATCTTTCTTCCTTGTCGGCTCCTTCTCCTCCAATACTCTCCCCGGCGCCGGCGCCGGCCAATCTGAACCTTCGAACCTATCCACGTCGTCTCGCAGGAACAGCAAACGCTTCGTCTGTGGGTCGCGGCAGCGGCGTTGCTGACGTGGAAGGCCTGGCGTTGCTGGAACCTCACGACCGGTGGCGACTTTCCCGCTGATGACCGAGGAGGGGTTCCGCGCCAGCTGGTCGAAGTGGCCTGCGACGACGGTCTTGTAATCTTGGATGACGAAATCCCCCACTTCGACTTGATGGGATTGACGGCGGCGAGGGTTTTCAGAATCTCGTCAAGCAACTGAGTGTTTTCAGAATCTCGTTAAAGAACCAAACAATAAAAGATTGGAGGAAGAAATCGATCACCTCGATTAAGGAGTCGAGTTCGGCCTCGACTACGGCGTAGAGACGAGCGAAAGCATCATCGCCGGAGACGCTGAGTTTAGCTTGCTTATCCACATCGTACGCATCGAACTTCCGGCAAATCCAGTCTACTCTAGTTATCGAATCGATCAGTAGGTAATAATAGTAATGACAGCAGAAAGAGTGCAGAATTACAACAACAAGGAGATGGAGAAAGAGGGCTTCCATTAGCTTCCCTTTCTACTACTTCTTCTCTTCACCACCATTACCATCATCGTCATCATCACCACATTCTTCTTCTGCTTCTTCTTCTTCCACTTACCTTGTTTTGGCTACGACTTCTGATTCTGTCCTCACCATTCAGGTTCCTTATAACCTCTTACCTATACATATAAGCTATTCTATCAATCTAGTATACTAATATTCATCATCTTCATAGAGTTGCTTATTAACCGACTCCTTAATCTAGGTGCTTCGGCTGCGCTGCGTCGTATGGCGGGGGACGGCCATCTGATCGCGAGGGGGTGAAATCGGAGAGGCGGCTGCGGGCGTGGCGGTGGGGACCTGGAAGGGAGGGCGACGACGGCGGAGATGATGAGGAGGAGGAAGAAGAAGAGGAAGGCCGTGAAGAAGAGCTTGATGAGCGTCTTGAGAATCTTAAGCATCAAATTGAAACCTTCAGTATGTTTGTTGGGTACTTTTAGGCTCTGAAAGTGAGATGGCCAGATCTGTTAAGAAAAGAAGTGAAAAAGTTGGGGATAATTGAACATAAAGGAAAGCCAATGCTAGGAATTGTTAACTATTGTTTAAAGTGTTTAAGAATGGTTTTTAATGAAGTCTAACTGAAGCAAAAAGCAAGCCATAATTATTTGATATACACACCAAAAATCTTCTAAAACATACAAGAAAGCTCACAAAGCAAACCACAAATATTTCATGTACAGACCACAAACATGGTAAACAAACCACAAAATGCATACCGGAAACCTCTCTATGCATACCTCAAATTCCCTAAAACAAACCAGAAACCCCACAAACCAAACCACAAATATTTTGAAAGCACACCAGAAACCTCATAACGCAAATCACAAAAACCGTAAAGCAAACCACAAAAAAGCAAACCAAAAACCTCCTAGTGCAGATCACAAATCCATTAAAACAAACCAGAAACCTCACAAATCAAAACATAAATTTTTCGAAAGCACACCATAAACTTCTTAATGCAGACCGGTAACCTCCTAATGCATACCACAAATCTCATAAAACAAACCACAAACCTCACAAAGCAAACCACAACATTTGCGAAAGCACACCAGAAACCTCATAATGCAACCCACGGGCACGGTAAAATAAACCACAAAAACAAACCAGAAACCTTCTAATGCAATCCACAATTATATTAAAACAAACCAGAAACCTCACAATACAAACCACAAACACGATAAAGCAAACCAGAAACTTCTTAATGCAAACCACAAACACGATAAAACAAACGAGAAACTTCTTAATACAAACCACAAACACGATAAAACAAACCACAAAAGGCATACAAAAATATGAGAAACCAAACCATAAATCTCACAATGCAGACCATAACATCCGGTGGTCGTTGACCGGTCAACGAAAACCGTTGACCAAACTCCGATGACCGTCATTGACCGGATTCCGGCGCCGATAGGCATATTCCGGCCCCGATGACTAGATTCCGACGCCGGTAAGCATATTCCGACGCCGGTAAGCATATTCCGATGCCGGTAAGCTTATTCCGGCGACAAAAAGCATATTCCGGTGACCGCCGACCAAAATTTTGGGCCGAAAATAAAAAATAAATTTTTATTTTTTTATTTTTATTTTATTTTTTTATTATTTAAATAGATTTTTCATAATGACAATTATACCCCTAGTTTGATTTTACACTAGGTCAACTCATTTAATAAAAAGTCATTACAACTCTAGTTTCCTATTGGTTGGAGACTAGTGTTGTTACAATAACAACAAATATAGTGTTGTCACACTATCTACTCCCGGTGTGGCAAGAGTGCTTTTCGGCGGGCGTCCCGAAATCTAAAATATTGTCGACGATGGCGAGTTAGCGAGAGCGTCCAGAGAATTCATCAGCATCAGGAAGAAGGTAAGTTAATTGACCAATTTTCCTTTCATGATTGAAAAAAAGTACAATGTAGGAGTTCTAACCATAGTAGGTTGAGTCATATCTGCCCTATGACTATCCTGCTTAATTTATATAAACTAAAAATAATATAGAAACCGTGAAGTCAAGATGGCCGAGTTGGTCTAAGGCGCCAGTTTCAGGTACTGGTCCGAAAGGGCATGGGTTCGAATCCCATTCTTGACAAGTGACAAGTTGTTTTTATTTACTACATCAAATCCCTGACAAATTTGGTTCTTTTTCTGAGTTGCTCTTGTGTTTGTTTCAAGTGTGATCTGGGTTGTTTGTTGCCTTGAATGGACATTGTTTCCAGCTTGTTTCGGACAGGGTTGAATTGATATTGTTTTAGTTTCTAATCCAGTTGCTCTTGTTTTGGTTTCTAATCAAATATCAACTCCAGATTGCTTCGAGAGGCATTGCTAGCCTTGATACATCAAAAGAAGAACCGCAGGTTATTAGAAATTAGATACATTCAGCTTAGATACGACATCGACAGTAATAAATATGTTAACTAGAAACCAAAAATACCAATCAAATTATCAACTAACCAAGATATAAAGTCATTGTAAGGTTCTGATAAAAGAAAATCATACTATCATAAGACCGTTCAGAAAGAAGACCTACTGATAGTCACAAGGAACTAAACATTTGTAACTGGCTGCACAGGAAGTCCAATAAATGAATGCTGGAAAAAGGAACACCGACTTATGACAGGAATTTTCACAAATAAAGCACTAGGTGCTCTCGTATAGATCGATCCTTTCATGTCTACGTTCTCAAATCTTAAATCATCGACATCTATTCCTTAACATTCCTGTGCGCGATAGGTAGAAAAAGGCTTTCAAAATTTTCATGCTTGTCTGAGAGAACTAAGAGAAGTCAATGTCAGCTCCTAACGAGGTGCTTCATCTGGGTTCTTCCCTTTACCCCTCAGCACGCCAGTGAAGTTGCCCCTCATGATTCGCATGAATCTCGTGTCTTCTGCTGGTTGGGGAGGTACAGTGGTATCCTTTGGGGATGGAGGCGCTGACTGTTGTGGCGATGATTCTGCAGTTTCTTTCTTACCTAACAGCCTGCCTTCCCCGAATAAATTGGTTACTGATGATGCTATCCCAGTCCCCAGATGACCTCCCATCACCTTACTGAAGGTTTCCAAGGTCCCCCCTGATCTTTCCTTCATTATTATCTCAAGGGCTTCCTTGTGAGCTGGGTCCAGGGCTTCTGGGTCCTTTAGCATGTTTTGTATCGCCGGCAGCAGGTACTCCCGCACACTGTTTACCGAGAGATCTGCAGTAAGAGAGATCATAATGAATGTATCAAATGAGGATTTGGACACACTGTTATTGATATATGTATTTCATATTCAAATAACGACAGATTGACAGAGTAAGTCAAACCTGTGGCATCCAGGGCACGAATTGCTTCACAGAATGCATTAGCCCTCTCCCCGCGACGGGTAATGTCACTTGGTGATGTTGGGACGGCTGAGAAGTGGGAAATTTTTGAAAGCAGATGTGTGAAACGTTAGGGAAACAAGTGGACGAGCCTACAGTGGTAATTTGTACAGAACACAAATTGATGTAAGTAATGACGATTCTTAAAGATGAGGATATAATCTCTAAGTCGCTCAGTTGTATGTGGCACAGCTACTGATAGTGCTCGGATAACAGCAATGGTAGCTTCATGTGATCCCTCGTCGAGAAAGGCATCCATTTGAACTCGTATCTTATCGACAATCTGAAAGAGGATGATTAAGTTAAATAAATAGTTGGGCGGACCAAAAGTTACCACAATAACCAGTATTCACACGAAGGGAAACCCTGCTCCATACCAAGTCATTCTTAAAATGTTGTGCCACAGCTCCAAATGATTCTATGCTGACGTACTTCACATTCTGGTTCTGGTCAGACCCTAGAGTTACCAGGGCAGGTACCACGTGGGTCGAAGCAACCTTTGTATCGATGTATGGTACCTAAGAATGAAACCAGAATAGAATTAAGAGATCTTCCAAAACAGATCATGCTATAAGCTGTGAACGATGGCCTTTCAGGGGACAAAAATAATTACGATGACTTTTAACAGATTGGCAGCATTGATTTTCATATCCACGCTGGAGCTAACAACCATTTCCCACAAGATGTTGAATATCATGCCATGGTGCTGTTCAAAAGTACTGCATCAAATCAGTCAAATCAACTGAGTTTGTTAGTCGAGCAAAAACTTCAAAGTCGAGCAGTTAAACACCAGTCAAATCAAGTGTAGTATACAAACCACAGACACCGAACAGCATCAATGACATCAGTATAGCGTCTAGTTGATGGATTCTCCTTCAGGTAGTTATCAACTAACAGCTTTCTCAAGTAGTCTGATAGCTGATCACGTTTGCTGGGAGAACCTAAAACGCCTGCCAAAAGAAGTGGTAGAACACACGTTGTAGCCAGTCTGGCAGCAACAGCACTTTTAGGCCTCAAACCTGTAAAAAATTAGTATTACCATTTAGAACAAACCTACTGGCATGGAAGCTGTTCAAAAAATAGAAAAATGAAGTGGGTTCATACCTTTGATTCTCGAATGTATAGCCAAAGGGAAAAAGGTAAAGTCAGCATCATCACCGACTGCTACCAAGAATACAGGCAGCATTATATGAACCAGATACGAATCCCCATAACTTTGTCCTACAGCTAATAAAAACTACAAACCAAACATGTGTTAAAATTGCAGGATAGCATAATTCTTCAATGAAAAGGAAAATTAAATATGAGGAAACAGTATGAATACCGAAAGAATAAACCTACCTTTGTAATTCTGTTTCTCAGATTGTCCTCCTTCTGATGTAACATGCAGGAAAGCTGCATCAGAACAGGAAAGCTATCCACATGCATCCATTCAAACGCAGGCCATTCCACATGTCCCCTACTGAAATATTAAAGATTTCTCAGAAGCAATAACGGGAAAGCAGATGCTAAAGAAAAGTGATGCGAAAGAATATGCACCGAAATATCATGGATTCTAATTTGTACAAGGGCAGTGGAAGTGTTATACGGTAAAGTTGGGAAAGCAAAAAAAATCTATCTCACCCTGCATACAGTTCCAGCAAGGCATCGGAAAAGATGTTGTCATTTGACTCCAAAACAGGAGAAAATGGACAAGTATCTGCTGCCTTTTGACGGATTAGTGGAAGTAACTCTATAAGCATTCTCAGTAGAACATCAAGATTCCAACGCTCACGTTCTCCTAAGACCCGTAGATGGGATTCCAGTGAGCCTTCAACACCAGAAATAGGAGGGCAACGCTGGGGATAAAGTTTTTCCAAATAACGTGTGAGAAAAAAGAGACACAGGAATTGAACAGTAACTCTACTGAAACAAGCATTAAGCATATACCTGAGCACAACTTAAGGCATGAGACAGCAAAACTTTCAAAACGTGTTCTAAATTGTTTCCCCATTTTATTACTGCAGGAACCAGCTCCCTGAGTGTAGTTTCGACCACCACCCCAGAGGGATCACAAACCAGTTGGAACATCAACTCTTCAACCTATCAACACAGAAACCAACACAATCTGTAAAACTTGATTTGCATCCTTCTTCATTTTTCTTCAGTACTTCAACAGTTTTTTCCAAGTCATGATATCATGGCATGAGGAAAAAGCCTCATTCCCTAGACAATGTGCCATCAACCTGTCTAAAGCTTACATTTCTGTCAAATGAGATTTCTTCTCCCTGATTGCCTCGAAGCATATTTAGTGATGCTGACCTTGAAATATTTGTCCGCATTTAGGAATAGTGGAAGCAGCAAAGCCAAATTATGAGCAGCAGCATCTCGAACAACAGTCGCAGCATCTTCAATCAGTTGCTGCACTATAGAAAGAATTAAAGAATCCCGGATCTCAGGCCTCACAAATTCTGCAATCTGTCCACAAGATTGAGCAACAAGCAGTCTGCGCTCCTCATACATGTGACTTATCTGGAAAATAATAACACAAGACTTGGGAATTGGTGAAATTGACAAAGACAAACAAGCCAGTAGGCCAATGAAGGAGGGTAATCTGGGAAAACATATAGAGAACAATAGAACTCACTTGTTCCCAACACTGAGGAAGTAGTTCTGTTTCTGTTCTCATCTGACCAACATTCTTAGCCAGGCTAATACATGCCTGATGTAAACAGAAGCCAAAAAATAAATCAACTACTACTTTCCAGACAAGTCCTCCGTCTAAAGTTAATTGAATATCATCGAGTAAATTCAATCCTCTTTGGTTAATTTAAGACCAAAAATAAATTTATGAAAAAGCAAATACATCATAACACAAATGGTGGACCTACAGAGTTTATGTGTTCATATTTTCTTCATAAAGAAAACTTCAAATCCAGATTATACTCGGCCAATTATAATAGCTACACCTCTTGTGCCCGTCATATAACTAATTACTATGTTTCCACAAAGGCAAATTCTTCCATTTCTAAAACAGGGGGACAGGGGCTTACATCCATTATGATCTGTCTCTGCTGCTCATCCGGACGTTTAATCAAATTAAACAATGTATGAGTTAATGAATCCCTAGTACTGCCGTCTGGATGACGCTCGATTGCACACATCATAAGAGGGAGGAGCTCCTGTTTCAGATTAAAACAAGAACATCAACTAAAGATTGTTTTCCCTTTCGTTCCAGAGACAGCTATAAAAAATAATCATTCTGATCAAGAAGCAGGAGCAAGCATTTGATCATAGCACACCTCTCGATGATTTATTAAAACATAGGGAACAATCTTGGGTAAAGCATCAGCAAGGATTTGAATAGTCTCTGAACCCTGAAAACTGAAATTTGTTAGGCGCATTGTACAATAAAAAATGGTAATTGTACAACGAAAATTACAACATTTTCTTCTTCCAGAGAAAAATAAAAACACAATACAACTCCAGAAAATCCTTTGTGATACCAAAGCATAGCTCAAAATTTTCACAAGTAAAGTAGCCGAGCACAGTGGTTTTCAGTGGAAAAACAAAGAAAGAAGGTCAATGCCATTGGTAGCCAGATTCAAATGTCATTTTTTGAATCCAAGGATATGAATTTACCGTATCTTTTAATGATCCATCACAACCTAGGTTGTCTGATTTAACAGGAAGACCAGGAGCTGGTAACGAGACATCACCATTCTGTTCCGAGATTCTTGGACTTTCATCAACAGAGTTAACTCTGTCAGTAAGACTTACTGTACTATCCTGTGGAATTCCCTCAGGCTTACTCATGTCTCCATCAGGTGGGGGAACATCTTGGTTAACCCTTGCAGCATCAGTCGGATGAGAGATTAGAGTTTTCTCTTCGTCAATCTCAACAACCTTCTCTTCAAGTTGCTCAGACTCTTTACCAGACTCCGTGCTTTCCTCAGACTCAGGAGAAGTGGTATTTTTAGATTTCAACTTCTCAATTTCTAGAAGCAAAATCTTTATTTCTTCCTTGTACTTCCCAACTGACTGTGTTTCAGCAGTGTCAGTATCACTAGCCGCCACATTCCTACCAGAACGATATCCCTCAATATGCATCTTCAATGAAGTGATTTCTGACCTGCAGTCATTGAGTTCCTTTCTTTGGTGCTCCAGTGACTGCTTCAACCGTTTTATCTGGGAGAAAGCTGCATTACATAACTGTTTATCCAATCACGAAAGAATAAATTTATTAGCATAGCTGTACCAGGTTATCCTTGTCCTTGACATCCTTTTGAAGGGCTTCTAATGATTTAGTTAAACCACTTATTTGATTATCAGCCAACTCCTTGTTTTTCAGCAGCCTGTCCTTTTCTTCATTCAATCTCCCGCTTGCTGTTAGTAAAGATTCCTTTTCTCGAATCATGGCAACTTTTTCCTGCAATGCAAAGTATCAACTTGTTTACATTTGACCTATAACTAGTAACTACCTTAATAACAACACATCCCAACCGAGCATAACAGCATAGTAGTCCAGATAGATCCATACAACATATTACAATCCTACTCAAGAACATACATGGCAAACTGTAAAAGTTGCTAAGATAGCGACGGTTAGCAACTACAATTGAATGTACTACCATTCATATCTTAGTCCATCAGTAAGAAAAACATGCACACAACTCTAAAAACTTTTCTCACTGTCGTCTGTTTTGTTAATCTTCATATTTATGGATTGGTAACAGGCCATATTCAGTTCTTCCCCCCCCCCCCCCCCCCCCTACAATACTATATTTTATATTTCAGGAGGATGGAAACTGGGGATACGCTTCACCTCAGATTCAAGTTCATGAGGTCGGTTAAAGCATTAGGAACGCATTTAATACATTTCCTTACGTATTCACTTGTTATGTTAAAAATACAAGGTCAACTCGAATACCTGCATATGCATTCAAGTACATCATACGTAACCTCCTAACACTTATTTATCAAACGGACATCCAGATGAGCCGCTTATAGAGCATAAATAATTGCTATGGCGACTTCAGAGAAATTTGAAGATGCCACATAAATTGGTGCACAGTGATGCAAGATCACTCCAATTAAATCAGCACAATAATAATTCAGCATCCCAATTATTTCTGGAAACATAGGCACATTCATCTTCTAGGTTTCCTGACATGTCTTACTGCAAATACCGACTCTTAACCCAATTATAAGCACCTCAAACACAACCTAAAGTTTGAGTAACCCTCTCGGCAGCTTGAAAATTGAACAGGAAAAACATACCGCCATGACTTTTGTGACTTCTAAGGCAATTTTTAATTCATACAGAGTGTTTATGAAATTCGAAAACATAAATACCACTTCATCAGTTAAACAATCAGAACCGACGTTAGGCCTAGCGAAGTAAAGGCGGGGTCATGTTTAATAAAGCAAGGCACCAAAATGATAATCTCCTGTATTCATTGGCGAGAACGAAAAACAATCTCTCGATAATATAATTGAACATAAGTGTGATAAGCAGGGAGTTGTTCATCAAACATGTTTCAAGATGTACCTCAGCTGCCTCTGATGTGGATGAAAGGTACTGATAGTAATAATGGCGCAAGGCGTCTGGCACACAAGCAGGTGTGTTCTGCCAAACATCTAAATTCTGATCTGTAACCTAAGAGCGAGAATAATCAACCCAATGATTCATCATACTAATTCAATGAGACAAAGATGAGCCAAAACATTATCAACATGCACAAGAAAGTGAACATCCAAGGGGCCGACATAGGGGTAGATACAGCAGGAAAATAATCAACCTTCCTTAGGTTCATATTTGGTGACAACAATGAACTATAAACATGCATAAGAATACTGTCAGCATAAAAAAAATTTACACTGAGAATACAGCTGTTTCACCACCTTCTCCACTGCACTCTTCTTAGAACAGGAAATGGATATACTCAACCCTTATGATAGTCTAACCTTTTTAAAAGCTGAATGAAATGGTTGACAAAAGGCAAGCAACTTCCTATATTGTCATAGCCTCATTTCTCTTAATACAGAATATACTAGTAGCTTCACCAGCAAAAACAAAAATGAGATTTTCTGACAGCATTCATTTCTGTAGTAACTAGTAAGCAGGCAAGCAAAATTCTCAAGTTGCTGCATACATTTTCATTGTGATACTTGGTTTTCACAAAAAACAATTACCTAAGCTCAGAAATGCCTTAAAAGCTTATTATAATGACTTCTGCATTTTCTGAATAAGATACACAGCATCCCAACAAAAGTTGGAAAAATGAAACAAAGAACAGGAAAACACCCGTATAACGTCAGGTACAAAATATCCTCTAAACAGATTTTTCTGTCTATGCACGTGTCAAAATGCTTGAGAAAAGGTAAGAAATACCAAAATCAAAACAGAAGACAATGCATAGTGAAGTCTTACATACTTCTTCATAAAATGTCATAGCAGTAAGACGGTATCCCGCCAGTCGTAGATATTCCTTTACGGCACAATTAAGATCTCTACGCTCATTATTCTTCAGAGCACCTAAGTCAAAGGAAGACCCATCCTTTTTTTGCCTTAGAAGATCCGATCTTGGACTCCCAGATGCATCAGGCGCCGAGTCTGCACATAGATCGAGTATATAATAGCAATAAGAATCAGCAAAACTGGGCCCATAAAAGATTCATCCACAAAGATAATGCATGGATGCACAGCCTGGTAAACAACTCTGTCAACCACACAGTTTCAACAAACTTATCCCCAAAAAGAGGGGGAACAAAGACAAGTTTCATGGTTTAGCATTTCACGTTCATGAATACTTGTTGAAATCGAAACACAGGAAGTTCATACAATAAAGAAGGGGCCTCCTTACCAGTCAACTGAGGGGGAGGTAAGTCCACTCTCTTCTGTAACTCGGACTTCAGTTTCGAAATGTCCTCTTGTGCCAAGCGCAACTCGTATTCACTGAGCGCCAATTTTTCTTGCGTTGCTTCCTTCTCTTCCAGCAAACTCTGAGGGTCTGCAACTGAATTTTTCACAACAGAAGAGCACAAGAATGGAATACCTCAAATTCACGATGCAATTTGATTAGCATCAGAGCCCTAACTGGCAAATGCTGCATGACAAGTCTTCATCCGAGTTATGTAGAGTCACTGAGCTAGTTCAATTAGAGAATCATGCCAAAACAATGATCATTCTACCCTTTACGTCTACAAGCCATGGCAAACCTCAAAACCGGCAACGTAACAGTGGTGCGTCTGCAAATGCAATCAAATAGTAGGCAACTAGAGCTTTGGGACTAGAAAGAAGAAAGAGAACCTCGGAGAGAGTTGAGGCGGGAGATCTGATCGGGAGGGAAGTTGGAAGGATCAGAGAAGAACTCTTTGAGCCGAATGGCGTGGTGATCCCTGCCGTCGTCGAGCAGCTCGTGGAGCAATTCGAACGCCGTCAACACATAATTCTCCTCCAGCAAGAAATTCACCACGCAATTGCACAGCGACGATCTCTCCACGTCCATCATTTCTCCGTTTAGCCGGTTATTCTCACTCGATCACCATGCCCCAATCTGTTCGTCCGGCCTTCGTGATCCAAATTTGATCAAGCCGTTTGGATCTGCAAAGTGCACAAACTTTCCAGGAACCGAAGCGGAAGCGGTGCTATACTGGTAGTGGTGGAGTTTTCAGTTCTGGTGATTTTTGTTACTCGGTTATTCCCCCGGAGCCCGGATCAATTAAAACTTCAGACTTTTTTTTTTTTTTTTTTTTTTTGCCAAAGGTATCCCACAAGATGGGAAACAGCAAGATACGAAATATAAGTACAAAACCTTTACAAGTCAAATTACAAAACCGTATAAATACTTTTATTTTGCATCATTCGTTAAAACACAGGTTTGGAATTTGGATAGTCCATTTTATCAAACCTGTCCATTTTGCATCGTCCAAATATTGATAACAAATTTCACTTCATCATCCAAACTAACCGGTTGATCCAACTCGACTGATTCGAACCCAACAAAATCTTTATAACCATTTTATTACAAAATGAAAAGGTTTGTACACATTCTTTTTCTTTTATGAAATCAAGTCTTCATATCATCAAGTTGTGTCTATATGTGAAGTTTCAGGTCCTAGAACATTAATGAGAGATTAGAAGCAGAGTTTTGCAACAATTGGACGATGTTTGGGACTTAGGACCAAGGCAGAAGAAGTTTACAATGTCGGCACTTGAGTTTACACAACCACGTAAAAGAGGAGGAAAATTTTGGGTGAATCCATCGAGTTCACACGGAGCCGTATAAATGCATATTTGGTCGTGCGAGGAAACAGAGTGTTCACACGGTCAGCATCCCCGATTGCACGACCATGCAAACACCATCAGGGGACAGTGCGAACTCCCTCGCCGAGCTAAGTGAAACGCCACGTTTTGTGATTACACGACTAGTGTCCAATTTACGTTGCCTTGTAATCTGGCCGTGTAAAGGCCCAGATGAGTTGTAAAATGGAATTTTGGGCAAAACAGAAGATGATATGATTCTTGAACCTAAAAATCTAGCTGTGAGCTTTGTGGAGAGAAAAGGTGACTAAAGACTATCTTTCGAGCGATTTGGGGCATATTTAATTACTATTGGAGCTCGATTTCATTCCGTAGGAGTGACGGTCAGCTACCCGGAGCAGATTTTCACCATAGCGCGATGATTTCTACTTCAACCATCGTGTTTCCCTCTCTCTCCCAGGAGTAAACCTCTTCTACACTTGGGTATCAAGAACCCTAGCTTTGTATGTTAGGATAATCGTTGTATGAACCATTGATTCTTGAATATTGGCATTATTTACGCAATTGAGGCATTATTCAGAGTTGATTGAGTCTTGATTACATTATTTAAATTTTATTTAATCTAAGATAGATAAAATATGATTAGGTTGATAGAGCATCCTGAATTGCAAGTAGTGAAGCGATTGCCCGAAAGTGAATCGATTCATTACTTTGTAGTGGATTCAAAACCAAGTAGATGAAGTTTAATGGAATTGCCTTGGTAGTTTATTCTTGTTGAGGATAATCTCCCTCCGGGTACTCTATTCAAGAGAGTCTGGATTGCTTTAGTCGAGATTCCATACGATCTCAGAACTTTTCGCAGTTTAAATATCAATGGAAATGAATTAAGGAGAATTACTACTTGACCTAACTACTGGCTACGGGGACGCATACCCGAGTGACTTTTGCATTTGAATCGAATCAACATTTCCTTGGTTGTGTTTCCCTTAGTTTTAGTAATCTTCCCTACTAGTTGAACACGGGATAACAGAGTCAATCATCGAGTAATAGTAACTCTAGGGCCCCGGGTTAACAAGTAAAGCTTTGATCCACTATATTGCATCCTGAGTTGTGGTTACACTTTGCCACTTCATAGTGTGTTGGTTTTAGCAAGTCAATCATCTAATTTAAATACAAACTCATTATTCAAACCCCAACCCACTTGCTGGGTTATTATTCAAAACAACTCAGAGCAGAAACCATAAGTGACCATGGCGGAACATTATGCCAAAATGCCTCATGATGGTAGTAAAGAAAGATGTGGTTGCCTCAATAGTTCGATCTTGGTTGCACCAGTGAATCTAAAAACACATGGGTCAGCTACTAAGTTGTGCGTTTGGATCTTTCTCACCTACAATACCTACTTATCGGGACCATATTCAGCTAATCACCTTCTCACATATAATCGCATTTCAAAAATCTAGATGCAATCCTCAATCATCTTAAGCAAGAGATCAATCAATATATCATTTTTCATAAGCTCATCGTCATTGAACCAATTTATCCATAATTATAATCACATAGCTTCACGAACACACAATCAATGCATATATGAAAACTCTAGTTTATTATTAATGGGCGCTAAGGTCACCATACACATACCCCTGCTCAAGAAAAAATCATCATCATCATTATTGGTTCTTCATTAAAATCATCATAAAACACATATAAATGAATTTATTTACACAAAAGTCCATTTAATTAACTTTTTATCATAAAAAGAGACTTAGACAAAATTAATACAAAAATCTCGCATTAACCCTAAGTTTTACAATAACTTAAATTCCAATAAAATGATAACTCCAAAAATAACGCAACATCCATTTATCAACATGAAATAGCATGGCTAGATTTTACCATTTTCAACCACTCAAAACCATGAAATTAATATTACATTCGGAGTCTTTACCGCAAATCTAGTATTAAGCTCATATCCACCATTTTAAGGATAAAAGCTCCACCAACTGTCTAATCCTTCATTTTAATACCGAAAACAATTTCACAAGTAAACTAACTATTTTGGAACCATCAAAATTATAACGATTATCAAAACACCTTTATACCAATCTTTTCATAAAATTCACCGTTATGCACTTTTTCATCTGAAATCCATTTTCCAGTCAAACATTCTCCTAAATCTGCTCAAAAAATCGTTTTATACGTAAAAATTACATCGATAAGCTTTAAGCTCAATAAACGCAACTAACTATTTTTACGGTAAAACTTGTCAAATATCGATATTTATACCGTAAAACCCGTAACAATCAAGAACAATCACCAAATCATCAAATATGCCAACAAGTCATCACCAAGCTAATCCATCCATCCAAATATACAAATCAATCATAAACAATCGATGCAATAATTAATGTCCCCTTTATTATGTGGATTTTGGGTGGAGAATTAAGTTCTAAAACTCCCGTGGTTGATCTCCAAAAATCATCCTCGTTTCTATAAACTGCGAGCCGAATACCGATATTACAAAATTAGGTAGTAATTCTTAATTTTCTGCTTGTCAAAATCTGGAGAAAGCCGGAAATTCCTTACCTCACCTACCAACTTCTCAACCTTGTTTCTCCCTCGTCTAAGCTCGAAATTCAATTCCATAAACTCCGTGACGCTCGTAGTGATGTGTTTTTGCAACAATATCAAGTTTCCAAGCTGATATTGCATTTGGTGGCACTGATTTGGTTGACTAAAAGGATATTGCAAAAGCTCCGACGAAAGAACTTTCGTGAGCTTGGTTTGATGATTTGGTTTTATAATCAGGTTTGTGTGGATTCCTGACCTTTGTTGGGCTTACAGAAGCTATGATAGACCGTTGTTATTGTTAGAAACATGGTTTCTTACTCATTTACTGTGTTGGACTTATTTGTCGTTTTATGACTATTTGGATATTCGGCTGTTATTTTAGGGGGTGATTGTTTAGGAGGTGTTATTTTGGGGTAATTATACGGAATTTATCGGCTTATATATATTGTATTAGTGAGATTTTTCTCATTAAGCAATAAGAGAAGAATTATTTCCTAAACATAAGTCTTTCTCCTTCTTCCTACCAACTCGAATTTCTTCTCTCTTTCCCTCTAGTTGTCGTCAGTATCCTCCCTCTCTAGATACTCGCTTTCTTCCTTTTTCCAAAATTTTCATCTCCGCTCTTCCCCAAATCCTTTATTCATATCTCAATCCCAATTCTCTACCAAATCCTCAATCTCTGGAACCCTAGATGTACACATCTAGATCTGTGTCTCTTACAATTGGTATCAGAGCCTAGTTGGCGTGGGGTTCTTGAAGATGGCTGACAAATCTCAGAAGAGGCAGAAGGAGGCGGGCCAGACCAAGGACGTGAGCAAACACGAAAACCTACACCAGATTCTGATGGATATGCTAGCAAAGCAGAAAGATTTGACCTCACAAACTTAGGATGCTGCAAACCAGACCATGATGGGGCTATCAAGGTAAAGTGAACAGGTGAGCGGGGTTGGCAATAGGTTGTAGGCGGCGGAGAAGTTGGGGCGATCGATGCTGGAGGCGATCGCGATGATTAGCCAAGGGTAGCCGACTGTGGCTCTCCAAGAGAAGATGGCCACGGCGAGTAATGTCGTCGAGCTAGCTGATACTGCGAATCAAGCCCTGGCGGCGACGACTGTAGCGCAGCACGCTCAGGCGGCAAAGCTGATCCATGCAGCAGTTGTAGACTTGCAGCTGAACAGGTCTGGCGCGAGGGCGACGATGCCGACGGGAGTTGATGTAGGCAGCGAGGTCCTAAAAAATGCTAGTCGTGCGGGCCAAGGGTCGAGCAAACGGGGAGTGGGCTAGGTTTTCTGCCCACTCCTCCTGGCCCAGAAATGATGGAGGCTCGAAGAAAGTGGAGGGCAACTAGCTTCGAAGGGGAGCCCATGTTCGGGAGCCCTCGAGGTGGTGAAACGGGCCACCTAGGTCCAAACCGCGCAATGGAGGAAGATGAGCCCAACCTTGTGGACCAAGATGGGACTTGGGTTGACCCTGGATCACCTAGAGCGGACCGAGGGTGGTTATTGGGAATTCATCGGCTTATATATTGTATTTAGTAGGGGTTTTCTCATTAAGTAATAACACAACAATTATTTCATAAACCTAAGTCTTTCTTTTTCTCCCTACCAACTCGAATTCCTTCTTTCTTTCCCTCTAACTGCCGTCGGCCTCCTCCCTCTCTAGAGACCCAATTTCTTCCTTCTTTCCACAATTCTCATCTCTCCTCTTCCCCAAATCTCTAATTCCTATCTCAATCCCCAATTCTCAATCAAATCTTCAATCTTCGGAATCCTAGACCTATACTCTTAGATCCGTGTTTCTTACAGTTATCTATTCTCTCCTTCTTTTCTTTTCTCTTTTTCATGCTTGTACGGATGTGCCAAATGAGTGCTAGTTTCCCATTGTTATAGAGCTCGTTGTCCAGGCGCCTACCTCCTTATTTATTGTCGAACAAATAGAGTAAAGGCCTGGAGTTGCCTTCAAAGTAGCAGTGACTTTGAATGGAAGAAACTCAAGTCCCAAAGCCAACTCCATAAACAAGCTAGCTGCTGCATCATAATCAATCAACAAGAATATTAAGAAAAGTCTTGTTAATGTTAGTATTCTGCTAGTCAAATTAGGTTAATTATTAAGGTTTTCAGTATTTTCTATAAATATGTACATTGGGTTTACATTATAATCAATCAACAAGATTATTAAGAAAAGTCTCCTAAACCTCAACTTTCTCAAATCATCTCAATCTCTTGTCTCTCTCTAGCCTAGACCGCTGTCCATTCTCTTGTTCTTCTCCAATTATCTTCTCTAATCCTTAAATCCTCAATTCTATCGTCTAATCCCTAAATACCCAAATATCGATTCCAGAAAACGCGTTTCTATCATACGCTAACTAGTTACATGGAATAACGTCATGGGCTGCACCCCTGAATTACCTAACTCAACAATGTGGGCTTCCATTGGCTTTGGAGGGATTATTCTACGGTATAAATGGAAATGGAAGGGACCTGAGAAACTTTGCGGTTTCCTTCCCTTTATTCAACTACTCAGTGCTATGATTCATTGATTCTCCAGTTTCCATGGATGGATCGCCGAGAAGTAGCCAGAAAGAAGTTGAAAGAATGCATTACATACGGCTACCAAAAAATGTTGTTACATTTGGAGGTTTTCTTCAAACAATTTGGATGGATCTCTCGATCCAAATGTGACTTGCCCAAGCCCAACCACCACAGATCACATATTTACAGTTCAGCATGACTGAAATTCTGCAATGCTTATGTTCTGAAACTCTCTCGCAGTAGCATCAACGTCAACAATGACCAGCGCAGCTAGCTAGCACCTCCCACCGCATTCTTCATCATCTTCTATTATTCTTGAGCTGGGATCACCAGTCGCAAGTTGGAGCCCCATAACACCTTTGTCTTCAACAGCTTCTTCATTTCCCAACACATTCTCTGCAGTACCTTCAGCATTTCCCGGATTTGTGGCACCAGCTGTTCCTTCTCGTGCCTCTTCCAGCGCTCGAAAGTAAGCATAAGGCCCCCACCCTGTAATATAATAGCTCGAGAATGATGACGAGCAAATTAATGAGCTGTGAGAGTCTTGGAGTCACGAAAACAAACAAATTTAGTTCTGGAGACAGAATAAATGAGGAAACTAGTCATTCAACTAGGAAGAACCAAAAATCAGAATCTGCTAAGAATTTACCTTGAGGATGGTATGGTGGGGGGAAAAACTGAAGATAGCAAAAAGCTGATACTGTAAGCCCTAAACAGAAAAATCTTTACTAGTGTCAGTAAAGCATGGGGTGCAACTTACCAGCATGCCTGAAACGAAAAAGAATTAACGAAAGAAAATACCTAGAACACCACCAGCGAAAACATCCTGCCAATGATGCCAATAGTCATCCACTCGAGAAATGCCGACCAGAGATGCAACCAGTAGAGGAAGAAAAATGATGCACAGCTTTGCAATGTGTCCTCTACAGTCAAATGCTTTTAGTTTTCCCGATAAGTAGAGCGACAGAAACCCTAGACCAGCAAAAGACCCTAGATATGGAAAATCATAAAAGTTAAATCAAAGTCAATATGACCACAACAGGAGTAAAATTAAATGCAGAATCAAGCTATCCATCTTCAAACTAGATTATGATTATGTTCACATACTCGGGCCGATCAACTCCTCAACAATTTGGAAAGTAGAACCAAGAATTAAAGCTCATTTGCTTATGTCCACTGCTCTTTCCAGGACCAGAACAGCAGAGCAAGTATATCAAAACTTACATGCAGTGTGCCCACTTGGAAAACTCTTATGCCCTTCCTTTATGACATTTTTATCCCCATGGCAAACAACATTCCCCAACTGATCATAAACCTGCAAAATAACTAGGTTGTTGACAAGATATCATGTCCAAGAGCCAAAGAGAATTGAAAATACTACATAATGAGGTTCCTAACTGAAAATGGATTCAATTTTTATGAGATAATTGTTTGGTACAGTACAAGTTATTGAAACGACAGCAGGCGTGAAGAAGCCATACATCCATTCCATCAGGAAAACAACGCCAGAAAAAATCAGGACGAGGACGGCCAACAGCATTTTTGATTGAATCAGTGATGACAGCTGTCACTAGAACGGAAAATAAGAGACCTGCATCTCTCAAAAGCATGCCGTTCAGTGCTATATTCCTACCAGCAGTTAGCATGGTGAAGTTGACAGAACATAGTAAAGAAAAGAACATTACCTAGCATTGAGTGGTGGAGATCATAGATGTCCCTTCTTCTAAAATAAACTATGATAAAAATCACCATAGGTATAATGATAGCATACATCTGGAATAAAATTTGGTAGTAAAAAAGCATGAGTTCACTAATGTGGAACAATTTCATGTTCAACACAATATAATCCCAGAAACTTACTGGCACAGCCCAAACAGGAACTGTATTGCTTTTCAAGGGGTATTTGAGATCCGCCATCATATCTTTTCCAACAAAGCGATAGAAAGGATGGATGACATTAAGTATGACTTCTATCACCACCAGAAGAGCCAATATGAGCCAATCATGCATGTGTGTCCTAGCAACTGTAACTCCATGTGAAGCGGCAGTGTGCATTCCAAGCTCCTTCTTGTACAGCTTCATACATTCAGATAACATATTCTTAGAGTGACAAGAGATCCATATCAGAGGTCCAGAAGAAAAAAATGCATTTCATGTCCACGGAAATGGACAAAAGGAGAATTATTCATTCATTTGTGCATGTAAATTGAAATGGAGAATGTTGTTGAAATCAAGGATGTGGCCAGCTGGTACCAACCACTTCATGTAATTGCACTAGAGACAAATTATGTGCTAACAGTCTTTTGAAATGGTAAAAAACCTGCTCGCTAGCTTCCAGTATCCAGCACGTAAGCAGCCTGGTCACTCGAAACAATAGAAGACTCCCATCTCCAATAAAACTTTGAAACAAAAGGATAAAAGGAATTTCAAACTGCAGTACACAAAGATAAGGAATGCTATAGAGATATTTTGGAAAGCAACAACATATTTTCATTTCAGTATTCATCTTTTTCAAAACCAAACACCCATAAATCGCTTAAATTCTAAAACTTAATATTGGTTATAGCAACATTGCAACAAAGTAAAATGCTGATGAATCTTCCAAAGACATAACAAAGCTCATATTGAATTAAATGCCGAGGAAGCCACAATACTCGAAAGAAGGAAAAGAATGAAGATGATTATACCTCTTCATGTTTGTGTTCTATTAGAGGAAGATGGATGGACTGGCTATTGCTTGCAGTGATCTCTGACATCTTCTTGAACATGTCCTAGATAACCTAAGGAAATCAACTATCAGGCTGGAAGTCAGATTGAAGAAAACTCTTGATGGGGAAAAAATCAACCATTCATGCCATAGAGCGGAATTAGAAATCAAAATACGAAATAACAAGCATCTAAGCAGAGCACTTTCATGAACCCGAGCATAATTACAACACAAGAGATAGCCCACATTCTTAATTGGAACACAAATGATCCTATTTAGCAGACATTTAAGGAAATATGATTCCGAAAAATTAGAACACTTTCTTATCAATGGCAAAGAAGGAAAACAGATTCATAGGTACTTGGGTGTCATATTCAATTTCTTCGTCGTCCAGAGTTTAGATTCATTCAACCGCTCCTAGCAACTAAACAACCAAGAAGTGAAAGAAAAGACTAACTGGGTAGCGGCGTAGCGCAATAATGGGTTTCATTCAACTGCTCCTTACAAGAAGCTCACCGAGTGGGGGGAACAGATTTCCAATTGAAGGTTTCATCGTACAACAAGCACAACGAAGAAGTGAAAGAAAGAGTAACTGAGTCCCCATTAGAATGCTTAATTCAAACGTACAGCCAGTTGAAGGTTCCATCGTACACATTCCAAAAGCGGACAGACAGAAACAATTACACAACCACTTGAAGCCATTGCAGTTTTCAGTGTCATTGCGAAGGCAGGGAAAGGCGAGAAAAGCTTGGGCAGGAGAAGAAACCCACAAACCTGAAATTGATCCCTTTGAGATTCCAAAAGCGAGAAAGGGATTCCAGATCCCAACATGGCAAGTTCTGAGCAGGAAGCATAATCCAGTAAAAACAGCAGCTCAAGTGGGTTCGTGGGCGAATAATTGACAGAGCCAGAGGGATCTTCTTTGGACCGAGCAGTCAAGTCAATGAAGGGTCCGCCCGCAAATGAATACAAACTACAAAGTTTGCTGTCTTCTGTTCAAGTGGGCTGGCATGACAATGAAGCTCCAACTCCAATTGGGACCAAAGTGGCCAATCCTCATCTCGCTCGGATTCGGTACGATGCGCCACCAAAGAGCTGCCTGGGCCTCCCCGGGGAATCCCTTACTACGCGCTTTACTTGGCCCAGTATAAATTTGGGCTAAAGATGCATTCCAAAGGGGGGTGATATTTCATATTTCTTTTCGCTAATATCATTAAAAAAATTCTGGAGTTTACTTATAATTTTTTTTTGGCGTTTTATTATTTGTAATATTCGAACCTTTTTCTCGATAAATCATAGTTCATTTTACATCTAGACACTCAAGGGTTTTGCTGCATATAAATGTGACTTTCCATAAAGTCACTCATATTTGCAGTGCTCTATAGTGAGCACGTTTAAGAACTACTCTATTTCATTCCAAAACGTGTCATTTCAGTTAAGATCGGTAACCCATTTTTTTTTTTTCATTTTCGTTTTTTTTTATTCTCTTTGCTCAGATTTGTTGAAAATTCAATATTATGTGTAAAATTAATTTGAAAATAGTGAAAATAAATGGTGGGAATTTTTTTAATTATTTTATACCGTGGGATCCACATCATCAATGTTGGATGATTGAGCAGTGACGTGATGAGTTGACCATCAGCAATGGTCTTGTCTGTCAAACATAACGGTCAACTCTCGAATTTGACCAATTTAGTAAACTTTAGGAATTTTCAGGTGACGATATTACATATCGAAAAGATTGAACAAAATGTTAAATATGAGAAAAGTTCAGGACGGAGAATTATGGATAGAGATGGACGGAATAGACTATCTGATTCATTATATTTTCAACCTTATATTACCAAATTGAACGAAATCAAAAGTTAGCGATCATTTTGTATGAAGTACAAAGTTTTATTACTTTTTTTGCTAATTATCCACATAATCAATGAAAGAAGTCGCCTTCTAGATGAAAGGGTAATGTACTTATGTAGTTATGTACAGGATCATCTTCATTGACAAATCGGAATTTTATATTTTCTGGATCACCCATACAGAATGCTTGTGGAACATGCAGCAATACCCGGCCGAATCAGCTAGGTGGCGTGTGAAAGGCTGAATAAAATATTAGAGCAGAAACATCGTGTTGAACTTGAACATGTGCATGGCGATGAAATTGCGCCTTGAATAATTGTCCAGTTTGACGTAAATGGCCGCATCCCATCCCCATACAGCTGGTGCCTCAAGCCCCATTTTTCGGGTTACCTCCACAACTCAAGTGTAAAACTAAAAAAGGTTTAGGCATTGACTTGATGAGTTTTATCGGACCAGGAATTACTAAGCTATTAGCAAGACGAAAAGAGTGAATAACATTTAGTTTCAACGCAATCCAACGAGCATGAAAAAATTTTCTGGGAATAATTTCATTTCATTAAATTATAAGTTGTTTCGAAGATATGTAAAATCCTTTGGTTATATATATATATATATGGTGACTACTTCGGTGCACTCACAAAAATGGGTGCGTTCAATGCACCCAACTCAAAAATTAGTCTTAAGGTGTCGGATGTTGAATTTTAATTTGTAGAATCAGTGTAATATGATGATATAACGTATGATAACAACTAATTAGCCGATTACCCTAAGCCTTAGACCTCCAATTTTGAGTTCTATCACAAACCCCAAATTGTAAACCCTAACCCTAAATCTCTAAACTCTAAATCCTTCAAATTAAAGTAAATCTTCAATGGTTTTTGTGCAAATTCATGTGCGTTATTGTTCATCACATCACAAGTGATGATTGACATAATTTTTACATAAATCGCATGTTTAAAATGATGGTTATGAAGTGAGTGCACTGAACGCACCCAAAAAAGTGAGTGTACCGAAGACGCCACCATATATATATATATATATTTTTGTGCATCAAACAAGCATCTGTAGTATCCCAACCAATCGAGTTATGAAGCATCCTGTTATTGTTATATATTAAGACGAGATGCCAAATGAGGATAATATCCTCACGAAACAACAAATATGAAGAAAATGATAAAAGTATTAATTCTCCTCACGACGCAAGAATGACAAGAGATACTCTCTGATAACAGATCTTGATTATATAATAATAATAATTCACAGTCACCAATGCTGAGCCGCGCCTGCCCATGTTGACTCCACTCCACAATATAATTAATATATATATATCAAACTTAATTTCCTGCTTTCACAAGCTAGATAATAAATACACGTTACACTACTCACAAACTTGTACTCAAAATCAGTTTGCATCCAACCTCTTCACTCTCTCTCTCTCTCTCTCTCTCTCTCTCTAAAGCACCAAGAAATGGAGATCTTCGGCACCAAATTCCACAGCACGGGGGACAGATACTGGAGACGGAAGAGATACCAAAAGCTACAAGACGGCGCCGTCGGCCGAAACAAGAACATCCGCATCGCCAGGCTCGGCGACAACAACAACAACAACAACAACGGTAGTGGAGGTAATAAGTTGGTGTGGAGGATCAAGGTGGTGCCGAAGCTGCGGCTGAGAGTGGCGGCGGCTGCTCCGCTGAAGCTGGCGGCGAAGCTGAGGAACAGGTACATGGACATGATGGTGAGGCTGGCCGGCAGCGTGGGGTTCTTAAATACCCACATGGTGTTTGGGAACAGGAGGATTCCCAAGGCGCGGCAGGTCCGGATGTCTTGTACCGACGAGGAGTTCCAGAACAGGATCATTTACGAGATGTTCAAGAACATCTCCGCAGCTCATGAATTGAATCCCATGTAGAAATTAAGTAGGTCCGGTTTTCTTCATTATTTGTCCTTTCCCACTTTGTTCCTTTATTCGTTTCATGGTGACAAATCAAAAGTTTGGTTAATCGCAACGGTTAATTAAAGAACAAGGGCCCTCGGTGCCCAAACGAGGTTTCCCTCGGGTCTCTTTGTTATAGTTGGATTTATCATGGTATCAGAGCTGTGTGCTAAGCATCAACACCTCGTTCACCGTGCCCCTCCGTGAGTCTCAACGGGTGAAGATCTCAAAGGCACGCCCGTCTGGCGGGGTGCTGCTTCAGTTAAGGTTGATGAGGAATCGCTTTCTCCCTTCTATCGATCGGTTGGCTATGTCTGATAGCCCTGGGAAATTTGTTAGTTGGAGATGTCCTCACGGTAGCATCTAACTATGGCGAGTGGGTCCTGGATATGAAGGATGCACTCATCGCCAAGAATTAATATTGTCGAGTCGATGGTTCAATTTCCAAGCCTACGAACGCCATGGAGAATATGACAAGATGTCTACACTTTCTAGTAGAGAGTAATACAGTTGACTTGACTATCACTAGATACGTAAGTAAAGCGCTTTTAGGTAATGCCGATTGGCGGTATGCAAATTAGCATACTTATATTTCAAAATTGAAGAGATCTCCATGATCCACTTACACAAACGGAAGGACAATAAATCAACACAATTTTTCTAATTGAGGTACCCAAGACTTTGTTTGGGTGATGGTGTATCTATATAAAATATATTTAAAACGTTTCTACATACCCTGATCTAAATTATCGGTGAAACTCTTTTTCTATGAAAGCAGAAACTCCACAAAATCATAATTTTGGAGCCTTCCAATAAATTCCGATCTGATGGCGCTCACAATTCAAAAAAAAAAAAAGGGCGGATAGTTAAATCGGGGAGACTTTTTTTTAGATAAGGGTGATATATGTTATTTTTTGTGATTAGGTACTACTGAAGGGATTCGAACCTGGAATCTCAGGGTTCAAGTCTAGTGGTATTATCACTAGACCAATCCCTTTTCGTGAGAGAGGGGAGACTTTTGACTATTCTAATGCTACTTCTTTTAATTTTTAAATTATTTAATTATTTTTTCGTTTTTACTCTAAATTTTAAAAAAAATCTAGAAATTCAATTAATTATGATTTACATTAAATTATATTCATTTTGTTATATTTTGGTAAAAATAATATTATATTCAATTGCAATAAATTCTCACATTATGTGTCCATCTATTTCTTAAATTGGCAACTAAAGAAAGTCATTGGCTAATTAATTTGAAAGCACCCAATCAAAAAACCTTAGGGGTCGTTTGGAGAATATGAGTTTAAATCTATAGATTGTCAACAATCTAAAGATTCTAACTCTTCGAATTGTTGAAAACATATTTTAAAATGTTTATTGTTTGGTAACTGTGATTGTTAACATTCAAGCAAAATAAAAAATTTAATTTTATATTAAATAACATGTTTATCCTTAATAAAAAATTAGAGTGGTTCGAGAAATATAAAAAAACTTTGTTGATAAATATATTTCATGTGATAAATAAATAAAAGGATGAGAAAAATTAGGAGAGAAAAAATCTCACGAATCAAGATATAGAATCTCTCTGATTATGAGAGATTTGATATCCGCAGATTTTAGAGATTTGAAATCTCTAAAGCTAGAAGCCACAATACAAAAAGCAACAAAAAAACATAACTTTCTACAAAATCTACGGATTCAGTGAATCCATCTCTTGAATCATTTTCTCCAAACCGACCCTTAAACAAATTTTCTCTTCCTTTATGACTCTCCTTCCCTCCCTTTCTCTTCTTCTATCCTTAACCCACATGCCACCCTCTACTATCTGGTGCCCGCAAAACCAAGTCTTGTGGAGTGGGTTAGGGGAATTCCTTCTCTTCCCTTTACGGCGTTACAAAGCCTCCCGTTTAAAATATATAAGGGGAGGCATATCGTTGACCTTCATTTTAGTAATTCAAGACCAAGTTATAGTACATTTCACTTCCCCTTCCCTCAAGAATCCCATCAAACAATTTGCATTATAAAAAATTCGTAGAATAAAGAAATTTGCATTATAATTATGAGTGGTGATTAAGTCACATATATTACTCTCCCTATATATAGGACCAGGACGCTTTCGTGAAAAAAGCACACCATTGCAGTCCTTTCTACAAAAAAATAAAAATAAAAATAGATCCATCAGCTTCCTAACTACAAATGACAGCTACTACAGCAGGGATCTCCTTCCTCGTCTTCCTTGCCACCATCTCTGCTCTCACCGCACCCTCATTGGCGGCAAAGAAGACGAGGAAGGCTGATGATCAACAGTCCCTCTCCTTCTGGAACTGTACTAATACTGGTAGAAGGTTTATGTCCTTTTTAATATCATTTTCGGCTTCAATTTTCATATGTGAAAACCGAAGCTGAAAACATGTTTAGTTGGAAAATAGTGAAACAACAATATTCAAATGTAATTAATATATGCATGCATGCATGAGCGGATTATGGTTGGCTACCAAGTATATATTGGATCTGGGTTTGGTAAACGTAATATATATTGGATGATGATTGCATTGCATGCAGATGAAGACGGCACCCCCTTCACGGCGGCGATTACCTCTCTGTACGTCGATCCTGTTCCCTTGAGGATCAACAACTCTCTTTTAGTCCGCATCGAGGGTGGAAAAGGTACGTGCTGCTGCTACTGACTCTCTCGCCTCCTCGATGGGCCATATTGTTTTGTTTTTTTTAGGTGGGTCACCTTGATAACTCAGGGGGAAAAAAAAGGAATATATCGATTAGATGTGAGCAGGGGCGGAAGGAGAAGATGGATCCCGGTATCCATCTCAATCAAGGGTGGCTATTTGGTCCGTTCTTTTTGGTTTTACCCGAAATCGGATCGTATAATACGAATCGAGATCGGACCAGGATCAGAAAGCAAATAATTGAATCCCATTTTTCGGAGCTTAGATTTGAGGTAAAAATCGTTCACGACTCGACAGAAAACCGGATAACGCCCTGATAAAAAGCCATTATAAGTTGATTTTTCGTTAGCGGGAAATGTTACTAAATACTAAATAGTATAAGAGCCATTATATAATATTCTTTCCCAACAACTTGAGTCATTGATACTTAACGGTCTTGACCAAGAACATTATTCAAAAGCAAATGTCTAACTAAGTCATGAATAATTGTTTGATACGTATAGAGTGATTTCTTGATAGTTTCGACATATATTTAATTTACCAAGTTTTTGTAAATACAAAATTATATCATGAATGATTTAAAAAAAACAAAATTATTTGATCGTATGTATTTTTTTTCTTAAATGAACCCACCCTCATCAAAATTCTAGCTACGCTCCTGGATGTCGAGGAGAGTGATCATCCTAAACCTCGTGAATATCAAGGGGGTATCACGTACTCTTTGATGGAAAAATAATATTTAGACATTGAATTCAGTGGCAGAGGGAGAGGGTAACACGGTGGGTCCCGGGACCCACCCTGGTTCGGGAGGAAAACGGCTAAATTAGGTACGATAATTAATTGATATAAAAAATTAGGTCACGTTTAATTGACAATAGTAGTTTTGTGTTTGAATCTATGCAACCTTATTTCTTAAACATACGATATACATATTTGTGCAAACTTCAATTTCGTATAAGTTGATTTTCTTACGAGGGAGCCTGCTAGTAAATGGTATCATATATAATATTGAATCTCTTCCAACAACTTGATTTGTTGATACTAAATGGTTTTTTTACAAAGAACATTATTCGAAAGCTAAATCATGAATTATTGATTGGTGTAAGATTTATTATTAAACCTCTATCAACAACTCGATTTATTGATACTAACAGTTCTTGACAAATAACACCATTTGAAACAGTACGAGTGTACGACTAACTAAATCAATAACTGTTTGGTACGCAAAATGATATTCTTGATATTTTTTGCTACTAATGCATTTTAATTTACCAAAATTTCAATTTAAGTTTATATTAACAAAAACTATTTTATCATGTGTATTGTTTGAACCCACTTTAAACGAAATCCTGTTTGTGCCACTGATTGAATTCATCAGGTTTTGGATATGGTTTCCAGATTAACCAGGTTTTTGCGATGTGGCTCATTGTTTTTATTTATAACAGATCGTGGAGGCCCCAGTGACACTTTGAACACCATCTTCGTACAGCTTTACCAGGATGTTCTTGATGTCGTGTTCTCGCAACAGGAAAGCTTTTACACACGTGGAACAGTTTTTAACCTCAGTTTTCAAACAGGCCAATTACCTCCAACCATCGTACCGGTAAGTTGACGTGTGCAAGTAGTCCCAAATCTTTGGATTGCCTACGTACGTTATGATTGGTGGAGCTTAATTCCTTGTCGCTACATGCATGCAGGGCAACTACGAGCTCATTGTGTCGCTTGGAGATTACAATGGCGCTTTCACTTGTATTCGCGCGCCCATCAGAGTCGTTTAATTTGCCGATCGGTGTTTGATTGGAAGCATTCATCTCTTCGGTGTTTTATTACTTTCTGCGCTTATTATGTAAAAAGGCCTGTGGTCCTTCATTTTCAAAGTCAGCTACCAACGAAATGAATAAAACCAGCAGCTAGCTATCTCTGTATTCTGAAATCAATTTTTCATAGCAGTTGGAAACTAGCGGTGCAAATTCAAGGAGTGCAAAATTGAGGTGTAAATTGTGGGGGAGTAAATTTAAAAGGAAAGTAAATTGAGATATAAATTGTAGTTTAAGAGAAAAAGTAGAAAGATGCAAAAATAAATTTAAATTTAAGAGGAGAAAATATTATTTTCTATCGGTTCAAAGAGACAGAATTTATGACTTATTAATCCATATCTAAAAACTCAAACTTGTGAAAAGCTCTCACTCCCTAGTCCGTACTACTCGCTGATTCCCGCTAGGGTTTTCATCTCTTCTGCTCGCGAAGCTATTTTTGGTATGTTTGGTTTAGTAAATATGAATTGGATGTGATTGTTGTAATTAGGAGATGGAATTTGGAATGATAGAGTGCCAGGATCAGGTGAGTAACCATAGATTACTTATTTATTAGTAACCATCTGTTAGCCGTTGATTTGGGCGGAGGCATCGAGCGACTGAGATGGATGTGGGTGGGAGAGGGGTGTTTTTGCCGATTACTTTAATTCTTTCCCTTTTTATTTAATTTTTTCCGACATTTATTAGATGACTTTCATTATAGGAGAGAGAGGGAGAGCGAAAACTGGTTTGAGGAGAGAGAATCTGATTTCTACCTGAAACTCTCTTCTTCTCTCATCTCTATTCATTTCTCTCTACCAAATCCTTCAATCTCCTCCTTTCGATCTGCTGCTTCCATTTGTTCTTCCTTTTTCCCTCTCAATCTCCTTCTTCTCTCAACCTACTTAGTCTTTTTATTCTTACTTAAATTTTTCTCCACAAATCGATCGACGAATAAAAAGTGCAGCCCCCTCTTTCATTATATTTCTTATCTTTATCTAGTCCTCTTCTTGAAAATTTGGTGATGCTCCGATCCAGATCGACTAGTAAGGGAATAGATCCAGGTGAGTCGAGTTTGTATGTCTTATGTTTTAATATTTGTTTGTGGATTTTCAATTTGGATCTCTTTTTTATGTTCTCAGTTGCGGAGAAGGAAAAAAAAAGATGCATAAGACTAGCATGTAAAGTATGTGTTAGTTAGAAGTATGTTGTGGTTACGATACTATACCATGGTGGTATCGTGTGGTAACTAGATGTATTTTTATGGTTACCTCGTGTTACAATGGTACTGGTATCAATATTGTAATTCAAGTTTAATGAATATATCACCATTCAGTTTGAGTTGAAGTTATTTTAGTATAATACCATATGATAACAGCCTACTATATGCCATATCACACAATAAATTTTGTTTTGCCACATCATACCATATGGTGCCAGTATTGTAATTCAAGTTTATAGGCTTGTTTCCCTGTTAAAACACCAATATAGTATATCATACCATCTTGTACCAACATACAATATACTATATCACACTACAAGTTCTTTCTTTTGCCCCATTATAAATCATCATACCATATGGCATATGGTACCAGTATTGTAATTTAAAACATTGTACAGTATGATACCACCACATGCCAATTAGTATGAGGCATTTTGGGGAGGACACCCAAAAGTAAAATCGTGCAGGCTTGTCCCAAAGTGGACAATATCGTACTAATTGAGCTACCCCGTTATGAAACAATCACCTGTGTGTTCCCACCACTGACGTAGAGCACAACCAGGTTGTGCACCCCGGTCACAACCCGACCCATCTCAATTTGGGCGACACAATGGTTAACCGCAACAATTGGTTTCTTCTAGAGCAGTGAGAGAACCAGAACTACCATGGCAGGCACCTGCAACGGCGCGTCCATCCGACCCGAAGGCCCTTGGTATAGCAGAGACAATCAATGTCGTCGGGAGTCACTTGGGAGGCGGCCTCCAAGGCAGATTGGACAAAGGGGAATCATGTGTTGGAGGTGGTGATGAGCGATTTCTAGGAGAGAGAAAGGGAAATAATCCAAAAATGCACGAGTTATTAAAAACAATTCCCAATCTACAATACTTGTACAAATATTTCCCAAAATACTTAAGTTTCACGTGGTTCGAGTCAGACAACCTCGATATACTGAGGGGTTTGAGTGACAGAGACTCGATCCACTAGCATCGCGATAAAATCACTCGATTGACGGAGATCTGATGGCAGGGATCGAGCTTTAGCGCCGCGATCCGCGTACATCGAGGGTGATGGACTCGATCTATAACAAAGGAAGATGTATCGTCCACCGAAATCGTGGGGAATTACCATAAACATTCCATTAATTACCTTACATAAATGTTATCATTTAATGTTTAACCTTTTTTATTCTATTTTGAAAATAAACGCATCATTTCTTAGCAAAGAAAATGAAAGTCTTTTTTAATTCAGTGGGAGCGGTCTGAAATTCTCACCCTATAATCCAACGTTCAAAAACCTTCCTTTTTATTACAAAAAAAAATCCTTATTTATTACAACAAAATCCCTTTTTAAAATGGAATGAATGGTAAAGCCCTAAATTAATCAGATTTTGTAATGAAAATGTGTCTAGTTCCTTTGACTCGCACCCTTCAGTGGATCAAGTTCCTTTGACTCGAACCGCGTGAAACTTATGTATTTTGGGAAATATTTATTTAAGTGTCATAGTTTGGAAATTTTTTTTAATTACTCTTGCATTTTGGGAAAACCCCCAAGAGAAAACCATGCCAAGGAGGAGTGATAAAGGTTAATTAATTTTTTTTTTTATAAATTGACATGTCATTAAGTTGACGGTCCAGTCAGCATTTCCGTTTGCCATGTCATTACAAAACCGACGGAGTTAACGAAATCTGACAGAGACTAACAACGGGTGACTAACGCTGAAATGATTTGTAAAGTTAGTGGCGAATACGAAAGAAAAGTAATTCGAGTGGCAAACATGAAGATTTTATATAATTTGAGTGACAAAACGTGTAATTTAGCCCTTTTATATCTTGTGTATTAATAAGATATTTTATTTAATAGTGAAGAACGTTTGACCGCTTGCCGTTGTTGACCCCCGACTTCTAAACGTTTAAACAGCGTATATTATTATTATTATTATTATTATTATTATTATTATTATTATTACTTGAGGCCCAAATTAAAGAAATGCATCTTCTCGGATAATTCCTCCCTCATGCTGTCTCCGTTGCTGGCTTGCTGCTTGCTTGATTTATGACTTCCCAATAAATACGCATTACGCACACACAACTTGCCCTCCAATTTAATTTACTCTCTCTCTCTCTCTCTCTCTCTGTAAAGAAATGGAAATCTTCGGCACAAAATTCTACAGCAGCGGGGACAGACACTGGCGAAGGAAGAGATACCAAAAGCTACAACAAGATGGCTCAATCCGCAACAAGAACATCCGCATCGCCAGGCTCGGCGGCGACAATTCCTCCTCCTCCTCCTCGTCGTCGTCCCGCAAGCTGGCGTGGAGGATCAAGGTGGTGCACAAGCTGCGGCTGAGAATCGTGATGGCGGCGCCGCTGAAGCTGGCGGCGAAGCTGAAGAACGGTTACCTGGATTTGATGGTCAGGCTGGCCGGGAGCGTGGGTTACTTGAATACCAACCTGGTGTTCGGCAACAGAAGGGTTCCCAAGGCCAGGCACGTGAAGAGCACGTGCACCAACGAGGAGTTTCGGAACAGGATCATCTACGAGATGTTCAAGAACATTTCTGCGGCTCATGAATTGAATCCCATGTAGTAGTTGTTTGAGAGAGGTTCTATCGTGGATCATATATCGTTTATATTTGGAGTTTGGACAGGCACAGGTCCAGACATCATGTGCTTAACAGAAACGGAAACAGATGGGGTCAGTGGGAATCGAACAGCAGACCTTACGGTCACCGAAGACTCTGATACCATGTCAAAAACTAGTTGATCCCAATAACTCGAGTTGTTGGGGAGAGGTTCAATTAATGAAAGTTCTTTTACTCGCAAACGTCGGTCAAAAACAGGCGAGGAAATTTCATGCAGTTGATATATACGATTATTTGTTAAGAAAATGGATATAAAAATTCAGGCGGCGTAGTGCATTCAAAGCTGAGCACAGTAGTGCGGCGTCTAGTCTAAAATGGATGTATTTACAGACTTGACTGGATGTCCTCTTGTGTTGTGTCTATCGACAACTGATAATGACAAAGAGAGGGTGGTTTTGTTTTAATTCTGTCAATTTGTTAGTCAATATTCAATAACGCCATCATATAATTTTGAAAGCACAACAACTGGTCACCTGACTATTATATATATAGACACATGTAGTGATAGATATTTGATTCGTATCGGTGGGTATTATCTGGCTTTATCAGTGCGTTGGGCGATTGATACCCAACCCGCAATAGCGTGAGACGATGAAGCATGATACTATTTTCCCTTATTATTAAAATCGAGCCGCGTGAGACGATGAAGCATGATACTATTTTCCCTTATTATTAAAATCGAGCCGGACCGACAGGTCAGTCCGATAAAAACCGGACCCGGACACAAGTCCGGGCCACGGAAGAAAGAAAACGGGCAGCTAGCCTTGTAAATTAAACTAGGGCCTACCATTTTTGTTGTCTTTTAATTACTAATTAAAAAAATGGGAAACTGGGTAAAGGAAACCCTAAAAATAAGCCTACCCGTGCTCCCTTTTTGGGTTTTGATTTTTTTTTCTTTCTTTTTATGTACTTCTTTCTTCTTTTTTGGAGTCAAGTACCGGTTTATGACCGGTTTCCAATTCTGGTTAATCAATAGTTATTCGATAAATCGTGAACCTCTCATTAATTCGGATTGATGTCTGATTCGGTTTTGACAACACTGCTATTTTCGTCTTGTTCTTGACCCAATTAATCTTGATTTGTCCAAATAGTTAATTGAATTCTCTTATCTGGACTTATTTCAAATAATATTTTCAACCATAATACTTTAGATGAGTGTAAGACTTCATCTTTCAACTAATTCTACTCAACTAATCTACCTATTATCTCTATATTTCATTTATGAACTATTTCCGCTTTAATTTTATAGTTAAATATAAATGTTTTCTTCACATTATATATAAGAATAAGCCGACATGCCCCTAATCGATAACCACGCTTATATTACACGACCTGCAATGCCTCATTGCCATTACTAATTGTATGGTTGACATAATGAGTTGGATATAAAGGAAAACTAACCATAGTTCTTGAAGCAGTAGCGTCTTAGAAAACAAGTATTTGGCATGCCTTTTTCGGAAATGTTAAATCGAACAATGCAATGACATAAACATTCTTGGAGTCTCCTCTCTATTCGTTCAACCTATTAAAGGAAATCTTTTGTGGGTTAGGTATACAGTAAACGATATCATTTACGATCAATGTCATTACCTGGCTAATGGGATTTACACTGAATGGTCTACATTTTTTAAGACCATTTGTCACCCAACACAAAAAAGGTTGTTTGTAATATGACAAGAGGCATACCAGAAGGATGTTAAGAGAGCCTGGACTCATAGTTAGAGGACCTAATCGGTTTTGGGATATCTAAACAATGTGAAACGTTATACTAATATGTGTGATTCTACCCAACATGATAGTTGAAGAGGAAAGTATGAGTTCAGAAAGGAACAAATGGAGAGGATTAATGTGAGACTAATCCATATGACACACTGGCTCCACTAGAGAGGATTGAATGTGAGGAAATTCTGATTCTCATGGACTACATAACACGATAAGATAGTGTAATGAACTATCACTACAAAAAAGAGGAGGTTTGGGGACATCAAAAATCGTCCCCGGAAATAGACAAAATCGTCCCTATAGTTTTTGGGGACGACATAGTCGTCCCTAATGTTTGGTCACCTATACTCTTGTCCTCTATTTTTATGGGGACGACAAAAATCTAGGTCGTCCCTAATACTAGGGACGACAGTCGTCTCCCATACTTATGAGTTGTAGTCTAGTTTCTTTTTCATGAGGAACAATGTGTCGTCCCTATAACCAAAAACTTCGGTAACACTAAGTCGTCCCCTAAATATTAGTACGAAGGACAAAATATTGTCCCTTAAAATCAAATTCGTCCCCTATAAACATTAGTACGAAGGACAAAATATTGTCTCTTAAAATCAAATTCAAGATAGTACCGCGACTAGTTGGAGACGCTATATTGACCCCTTTTATACTATATCTTTGGATAACAAATTGTCATCCATGTAGCTTATAGGAACCAACATCACTCGCTTAACAAGTTTTCTACTAATTATATGTCTTACATGTTTATTTTGGGGCAATACATAATACTTCAGATAAAAGGGATCATTCAGAAAAAAATATAAAAACTAAAATGAAAGATAACTTCTTGCTACCAACAAAAACAATGTTTCCTCTGATGTTCAACCTCCTTGTTATGGACAAACATGCTCGGCTTGCTTTTGTACTCTTAATCCTATGACAATTTTGTTTCTTCAGTTTCCAATCTTCCAATTACTTCATTGTCCCACTACGCAAATTGCTGAAGTAATAAATAGTCCTTCTGCCATGGGAAACGAAGTGAAAAAATTCAAATAGCATGTGAACATATTAAGGCAATGTAATCATCTGCTTAGGGTCTCAACAGTCAACACTATAATATGAAAGGGTTTGGGCAACTTGTTAAACCAAACATAAGGAGTGAGAACTCAAAATAATGACCAAACTATAATACTAAAAACACTTACATTGGCTCCCTGCTTCGCTTTCAAATTCATCCACCCATCAAATTGTCGTAATCTAAGTAGAATCAAAGATTAGTCAAGAGTCACTTTATGGCCAATCAAAAACCACATCTTCGTGTGAAGCAAGAATAAGAGTGAGGATAAAAGCATTCAAAAAAAGAAATGGCTAGATTCAACTATTTTGAAGATCTTAATACTAGAACATGAACCACTTTGATATCTTTAACTTCCTCAGGCCATAGATAAATCCAAGTAGGACATCATACTCCAAGTTAAAGTATGTGTCCATTTGATTTTTCCTTATATGCATGTTACTTGAACAATTTCCTCTCTAGTAATTCATTGCACGAGAGACAAAGGCAATGACCTGCAGTAGGAAGAAGAACATGTTCTTCTCCATACATAATATATTTTTTATAAAGATAATATAAGTTGATTATTATTGTTAGATGCTACTGAAATTATTAGAATTTCAAACTTTCATATTCAAAATTAATGATATTACCTCCAAAATTATCCGTACAGTATTGAAACTCCTGTAGCTAACTCTGCCAAGAGCAATGTGTTGCATGGATTCATGTATCATCTAATCCTAAAAAACACGAAACTTTAAGAGAGAAAAAGGTGAAGAAACAAACTTTCATCTCCTCCACTACAACACTATAACACCAAAATAGGGATAAGATGTAAAGGAGTATAACCCTTCCCCGGGTACAAAAATCAAACAGACGATTACATCCAAACAAAACCTATACCCGACGAAGAATCACAAAATTGAGCCCCTTTTATAATTCAACATTCAAGACAAAGAACCAAAATCGAAAACTACCTATTGTAAATCACAAGAGAACAGAGTTTTATCTCTAAAGAGAAACAAATCAATTGTTCTTACCTTGTAATCGATAGCAACAATTATTTTTCACCATATAGAGAAGACTCGATTTGCTTTCTCTGCCCTGTCTGCCGACGGCCGCTACTATTTGCTCCTTAGGAGACAACGCTGAAGAGAAATAAAATATTAAACCCTAGTTATACCCCTTCGCTCATTCTATTTATTTAATTGCTAAATCAAATTCCAAAAAATTGGAAATATATTTTAAATCTAAAATGTAAAAAATTAGGCCGCATATCTCATTGAGCGGCAAATTAATCTCGCCTTGGGCGCGGGGACGGCAAACAAAAAAAGCCCACTAGTATAATTATGATCTCTCTGCATATCCGGGGATGATTTTTAGAACTTGTCCTCTATGTAACTTTACATTTCATTTCCGGAGACAAACTAAGTAAGGTGTCCCTTATTTTTGTCCCTAAAGCTCTTCAATTTTGTAGTGTATTTTACAAGGAAAGTCTTGCCATTAGAGGACAACATATTGTTTGGTACCAAATGAATCGAGAATTCATTTCATTTTGAAATGAATTACTATGTAGAGTTCATTATCAAGTGAATTTTTGTGTTTGGTATCTTATATTTAATCTTTTTGCATAAAATGAATTGAACTAAACAACTACACCCTTATGATGTCGTTGGCTATGTAGTTTGGGAATAGCATGAGAGTTAGTTTTGTTGTCAAATAACAGGGTTTAAGAGAAATTATATATATTAGGTTACCGGCAAAAAGAGGAGACATAGGCGCCCATAATCTGTCAATTGACGCCAAATAATATATGCACAAGTAACTTAATTAATAAATAAGGATAATTATATCATTTCATTATAGTTAGTAAAATACTTGTGAAATTCATTTGAAAATTCCATCTTAATTTCTCAGAATTGATATAATTAGCTCCAATCCCGTATAATTCAAAATTTAGAATTGTAAATGAATTCTTTTATATACCTGACACAAAAGATTTCATTTTAAATTGAATCCTCAAAACTTATAGAATTCATTTATTACCAAACGGCATGTAAATCGTTTAGTTGAAAAGACTATACTACAATCACATTTTTCCGAACTTTGATAATTAACCTGACAATCGGGTCAAGTTAGATAATTTCGGGTTGGTGTCTTCTAATTACAGGTCGTCACAGGTCAGGTTATGTTTGGTAGGCTGATCTCGAGTCAAATGTTAACTCTACCCAAAAACTCTATGCTCGAGTTTTGGTTCATTTCGGGGTATGAGCTTTCTCAAAAGCCATATAAAAAATGTTCATATATTTTAAAGCATCCAAATTCACATATGTACGACAATGGTTCACCTAAAAAATATCAATTAACATATTTTCAGATTATCCCATGCTTATGAAAAGAAATACAAATTTTACAATTCGCCAAAAAAATAATTACGATAGTAATACTAATACAAGAAACAAATGATATTTGATTATCTTTACACTCCAACCTTGTCTTTGAAATTCTTACGAATTTTTTTGTAAACATCTCATCAATTTATGAGTGATCTCGTCGTCACAAATTAGATCCTACTTTGCCATGTTTATTAATTAGAGAAGTACGTATATTCTCAAGGATGTATAATAATGACAATAACAATAATAATAGTAAGAAATACTATTAATAAGATAAGCAGAGGTATATTTAAGAACAAAAATATACTGTACAACTGTAGCTAGAGGATTTATGGACTTTTAAGGAAAATACATATTTGAATTGGTAAAGATAGACAAAATTGAGATTGATAAATTATTTGAATTGGTGGAGGTAAATTTTTCTTATATCTTTCACCATTTTCATTTCCATTTTTGTGTTTACAAACTCTCCGCAAAGTAAGCTTATGTTTGGGTTAATATATATATTTGTTTGGCCAGATAAATATATTAATCCTTTATGTTTTTGTATGTAGAAAAAATTTACTAGTAGTAATAAATCTTAGGGTGTGCCTACGGTGACATGCATGTCACGGTGACTTGCACTTTCCGGTCGATCTCAGTTAGGATTAGGTCGACCTCATTTAGAATTCGGTCGACGTCATATAGGATCTGGTCGACCTCATTTAGAATTTGGTCGACCTCATATAGGATCAGGTCGACCTAATCTGTTGTTTCAGTGTAAAAACAGTTCATGGTGCCTACTTTGGATATTCATATCATACAATTGGCTTGATGGAAATTGAAGACGAATGACTTGTTTTGAAGCTGGAGTGTCCCTCTACATATTGAAGTGATTGAGAGCTCGATAGGAAGTCCAGAAGACCATTTTTGAACCTCATCAAAAGGTTATGCCAAAAATGGGAAACTGCATGGAAATGGCTAAGTCTGGAAATGTGTTTGTGAAGCCTATTTTGGAGCTCAATTCGAGAAGCATGAATGCGAGTCGAGTCGGGGAGCCTCTACCACGTTAAATTAGGTATGTTTTTATACAAATTCAAGGCATTGGATGAAAGATTGGATATCTGTAAGGCTTCAAACAAAAGGGTCAAAGTTGCTACGAAGGCTGTTTTTCTGGCAGACTTCGAGCACAAGCAAGCGGCCAGAAAATAGCCTTCGTAGCAACTTCGAGCGTTTTGTTTGAAGCCTTAAAGATATTCAATCTTTCATCCAATACCTTGCCTTTGTATAAAAATATGTAATTTAACGTGGTAGAGGCCCCTGGACTTGACTCGCATCCATGCTTCTCAAATTGAGCTCCAAATTAGGCTTGACAAACACGTTGCCAGACTTAGCCATTTTCAGGCAGTTTCCCAGTTTTGGCATAGCCTTTTGGTCAGGTTCAAAAATGGTCTTCTGGACTTTCTATTGAGCTCCAAAGTACTTTAATGTGTAGAGGGACACTTCCGCTTCAAAACAAGCCTTTAATTTCCAATTTCCATCTAGCCAATTGTAAGATATGAATCTCCAAAGTAGGCACCATGAAACTGTTTTTACACTGAAACAACATATTAGCTCGACCTGATCCTATATGAGGTCGACCGAAAAGTGCATGTCACCGTGACATGCATGTCACCGTAGCAAAGTCCTAAATGTTATGTGGATCAAAATGAGATTAGCACATTCAACTTGACAATATCATGGGCGTGAAAAGTTCCTTGCCCTTGCCAATAACCAAAGAGGTGGTTATATTCCTGAAGGTTTTGATGTTGATGACTCGGCAAAACATGCTCAATATTGGGCTCCTGCTGACTTCAAAGTAAGTGTCTATATTTTTACTTCTAATGTTGTAAAAATTAAAATTATTTATAGATCTTTGATTATTATTAACATATGTGGTAGGAAATGAGTAAGAGGAATAAACAAAATAGAGGAAAGGTGCAAGGGAAAAATACATGTGGGTCAACAACACATGAAGAAATGGAAGAAACTACGGTAATGAGTTTTCTAGCTGTACTTAAATTTTGGTAATTAATAATCTAATATATTAGGTTAAATATGATTCCTATCCAATTTTATTTCACCTAGTGTTCTTAAACTATAAATTTAATCACTTGACTTTAAATTTCAGAGACGTCCATTGACTGGAAATAAGAAGTATCATGATGAGGTTTATTATGCTCAACATATCAAGCAGAGCAAAGAAAGAGAGGCAATATACGTACGTTTACCTCTTATATAAATTGTTTTCATCATTATATAAAATTATACAAGGTTTTTTTTTATGGAAATCAAATTATACAAGGTTAAATTATGATGTATGTAATTATTATCTTTTGATCGAATACAAAGAGAGCTACTAAAAGTATTTTGCAGGAGAAAATAAAAGAGTTGGTTTGAGTAGGATATAAATTGTCCTAGAAGCCACAGTTATTCTTGCCTCAGGAAAACCATATTCTCGAAATAGTAAGAGGGCCATAAGAGGTGGGGTAGATAAGGCTATGTTGAAAGATGAGATAGAAGCAAAGCTACACAAATAATTTGAAGCCAAGTTAGCAAAAGAAAAGAAAGAAAATTGCACACATACTAGCAAAGCATGAGGAAGAGAAGAGAGAATTGTGTCCTTCTTGACCTATAAAATTACACTATTACTATAAAAAAGTTTATATTGTATTTAGTTTAAATTATTGTTGAGATTTAAATCATTGTATTTACGGTCCAGCCTCGTTATCCTGTATGCTGGACTGAAAGGAGACAATGGAGCATCTGTTCTTCGATTGTCCGGTAGTCAGAGCGCTCTGGGATCAGGCGGGCCTTGAGCATCTTGGTCAGGGGTTGCCACGACATACCTTTCCGCTGTTTATGAAAAAACTGATGAATGCCATCCACCAACCTCATCTACTCATGGCAGTTGTAGCTGTTTTGTGGCGGATTTGGAAATCTCGTAATGGGGTTGTCTTTGAGGGCAAACAATTTGGGATTCCAGCGCTACTGCGACAGTATTATCAACAATACCAGGAATGGATGAGGCTACCCGGTGAACGAGGTCAGCATCTCTGCCGGTCCAGTGTCTCGTCTGATTCGACTATGGTTGTGCAGTCTATTACCTGTAGGTGGGACGGTGCGACGAAGTTTGGGTCTCACGCGGCTGGTAGGAGTGTGATTAATGATCTGGACGGGAACATACTTCTGGTTCGTAGAGTTCAGTTTCCCGATACGGATGACCCTCTAGTGGCAGAGATGTTGATTCTTCGGGAAGCGGTGTTGTGGTGTCTGGAGCTGGGTTTCCATGCGGTTTGTTTTCAAGGTGATGCCAAGGTCATTATTGATAAAATCAATCGGCGGGATGTGCGAGATGATCGGATTGGGGCTTTACTTGAAGAGATTATTCTGGTGTTTACTTGTCATAGTGCGCTTTCTGTTCGTTTTGTAGGTCGGAGTAACAATAGGGTAACTCATTTGGTGGCTGGAAAGACCCTCGCTTTGTACCCGACTACATGTCGATTTTTTGATTTCCAGGTCTGGCTGGTTTCCCGGATGTAATATCTTTTTCTCCTATCAATATATCTGATATCTTTTTTCAAAAAAAAAAAAACATTGTTGAGATTGTGGTTAAAGAAATTTCTTTTCTATCTTGGTTAAATATTGTCACTAATATTAGATTCACGCCCCATAATTTTACTAAAAAAATTTATGCAGCAAAAGAGGTATACGTGACCAAATTTATGTAGCAAACCATATACATTTTTATTGAGTCACATCGTCACAATTGTTAAATTTCATGAAGACAATAGTGGTCATAAAAGAAGTGCTGGTAATTTGAACCCGCCCTACGGGTATTACCCGACTTGATCCACGATGAGGCGGGTATTAATCCACCCGCAGTAGCGTGGTGCGGGGAATGAGTATCTACTTCCGCCCCGCCCTACCTAGTTCTTGGCTCAATTTCTTACAGTATCTATACATATTTCTCTTATTTTGACTTTTCTCGTCAACTAGTTAGAGTCGATCATTGCAACTTTTTAGACTCAATTACCCATTCTATTATCACTATTTTTCATTCATAAAGTATGAGTGGGTCGCCATTGCTATCTCCCCTCCCTACCGTCAGATTTCTCCTTCCCAAACCCCTGAACTCGGTTTCGCCCTTCTAGCGCCACCACACTATGCCCAGCTCAGAAATTGACCCATTGATGGAGGAGAAGGATCGTCGCTCAGAGAAGGGAAACGTGGGTGGATCTGCAATCTAGAGCTCTGACAATCCTTCGGTCTGCTTCTTCGAATCGAAGAGCTGTCGACGAAGTAAGGGAGATCTGGGCGCTCCTCTAGTCCGACAAAATTTGCAGGGACTGGTTTGAAGTTTTTGCAAACGTGCGTGCAGAAGCATTATGTTTTTGGATACTAGTGGTAGTGGGTGGATAGAATGGGAAAAAATCCCAAAATACTCTAATTATTAAAAAAAATTCCTCAAATACAATAATTATAAACTTTTCCCCCAAAATACAGCAGTTTCAACATCACTGTCTTTGTCCAAGACAGTGATGATGATCACCGCTTTGTTCCAAAACGGGGAAGGTATCACCGCTTTTGAGAACAACGGGGAACACATCACCGCCTCGGACCACAACAGTGATCGCTTCACCGCCTCGGACCACAACAGTGATTGCTTCACCGCTGGGCCACAACAGTGATTACATCATCGCCTTTCACAAAATCGGTGATAATTGATCGCCTCACCGCGTTTATGGGAAACGGTGATAACATCGTTGTTGACCAAAACGGTGATAATTGAGCACGTTTTAGACCCCTGGTAGGTGGAAAAATTAGGTCACAGCGACCTAGCTATCACCGCTTTGGACAACAGCGATGATGTGTTCACCGCCATTGTTGAAAGCGGTGATTAGCTGCCATTTTTTCCTATAAATTCCGACGCCCACTTCCTTCCTGCTGCCTTACAGCAACCAAATACAAAAAACCCTGTTTTTTTAGTCGGTTTCTCAGCTGGTTTGGAGTTGGTTTACTGCTCAAGAAACTCGTCGGGATTCGGTATGTTAGAATTATGTATTGTTTGCAAACATGTATTTGGGGTGGAGGAAGACGTGGGCATAATCGTCAATCCGTTACTCTACACGTAGAAACTCGCACCGGAGAGTGTACATGCCAAAAGTATCAAAACAGAAGAGTACCTTGTTCACATGCAATGGCAGTAGCTAAGTCGATAACCCTCAGCGCTTACAGTTTGGTTAGTCCTTACTACACGGAACAGGCGATCAGGAACTCCTACTCGTCAAGTTTCAGCCCCCTGCCGGATGAAGCTTATTGGCCTGTAGACAATGGGAAGTTGATTATCCCACCGTTGCACTTAAAGCGCACCAAAGGTCGTCCTAGGACCGAAAGGATTCACGATGAAATGGATCAATCACAACGTGCCCGACGGGGTCCAAAGCGTTGCTCAAAGTGCAGACAACCGGGTCATGACAAGAGGCGTTGCCCAGGTCCACCTCTAGAGCAAGATTCGGGGCCAATTCCGAACCAACCTTGATGCTGATGTTGTTCACTTCCTTGTCATTTTCGTTGTTGTGATGTTTAAGTTGGACTTCTTGTTTTAATCTTGTTGAGTGATTGTAATAAAGGGCGTTTGATGTTTATTTTGGTACAACATGGGTGGTAAAACTGTACAAACCCAAACCAAATTTAGACGACATAGATAGTTCATGGAAAACAACACAATCCGAAACCAAATCCGGCAACATAGATAGTTCATGGAAAACAACACAATCCGAAACCAAATCCGGCAACATAGGTAGTTCATGGAAAACAAAACAATCGGAAAACAAATTGAGAAACATAGGTAGTTCATGGAAAACAACACAATCTGAAACCAAATTTAAACGACATAGATAGTTCACTCGTTGTCTTCATTTCCCTCCACTTCCCCTTCTCTTCCTCTTCCTCTTCCTCCATGACCTCCTCGGCCCCTTCTTCCACCCTCTCTACCTCCTCCTTCTTCACGAGCCCGCTGGACAACTGCTCGCGGATTCCTCTTAACCCGACCACCCACCGGAGTGTAGACAGGTGGTGGGGGTGGAGGTGCCTGAGATGGACCAGAAGCGTGGTAGAAAGTCGATGATGTATGTTGTTGTTGCGGGGTCTGATACTGAGTAGTTTGTTGCTGATGGTGGAAGTGAGGGGTTCCTTGGGTGAACATGTCATGTTCCTGAGTCGGGACATAGCTTGACGACCCTCCGGTGCCCTCAGTACTAGTAGCCCACTCACAATGTGGCCATGGTTCAGGAAGTTGAGTTTGTTGAGACGGACGAAGCTATTCAATGTTTTCTCTCACCCTTCTTCTGCTCCTCCTTGGGGGCTCTTGTGGGGGCACGATCCTCTCATCAGCACGGAATGAAGGTCGGGCCGGAGCAGGCATTGGAGGGTATAACCCGACATCCCTCCTTTGCTCTCTGGTACAACAGAGCAGGTTGTTGAAAAGCCTGCGCAAAAAAGATGTCTTCCGCTCATCCATGGTGGGTGCACTCTCGACAGTGTGCTTGGCATGTTCCAAACCGTCAACCTAATAAATTGTTGTACAAAATTAACTAACATTAAATCTAATAATGATTTCTATCATCTAATAATGTTAATTAACATTCTAGCTAATATAGGCATGTAATCATACTACAAAAATTAAAACAAATAGGCCAAAATGGAATTCACTTACCACTGCGCCCCAAACAGCACCTTGCTTTGACACCCATCTTAGCGTGAAGTTCCGATACCACCGCATGTAGCCATCGTGGTACCCCATTGGCCTCGTCTCCGGCACCCCTTGTACAACCCACTGATTTCTATTCTCCCATATGTTGATGTAGAATTCATGCTTGCGGGTCCAATCCTTTTTGGTGTAGTGTAGGTCAATGGCGTGGAGCTCCCTGAACCCTTGAGGTGGGGATGCTGGAATTGGTTGCTCCAATCGATATTGCCTCAAAGATCGATCAGGCAGGTGTCATTCCACCATGTGCCAGCAGATTAAGGGCACCTTGCACAACCATGTCTCTTCATCCTCAGGATGTCTAAGACGATGCAACTCAACCACTTCATTTGGATATGGATCCCATACCGCCTACAATCATTATAGTCATGGAATTAGTAAAAATTATATCCACTCCACCTAAAAAATTGAAAATCATTAAATTTTATATTTTTACCTGGTTCCACCAAGGCTTATCAAATTCAGCACGATAAAACAGTAAAGAGTGCTCGGGCTGGTGGTCGTTTGTATTTGCTCCGATCCACCTAATTAAGCAAAAGTACGTATATAAGCAATTTTTAAAGCATAGATGTTTACTTGTTAAGTATGATTGTATGGAAGCATCTAAATTGAACTAAACTTCCTTACTTGGCAATAATCTAAATAAGCTAAATACGATTTGGTTAGAATAAATCTAAATTTGCTTACTTGGAAGATATCTAAATTCACTAAAATACTATAATTGCATACTTAAAATGTCTCTAAATTCGCTTAGTTGGAAGATAGCTTAGTTCACTAAAATACTATAATTGCATACTTAAAATGTCACTAAATTCGCATACTTGGAATAGATCTAAATTCACTTGCATATCTAAAATAAATTCAACTTAAATTGAACTTACTTGAAACCATATGGGGGATTTGCTACAAATCGTAGCTCATCATCTGGCAACCAGAATTCCCGAGGGTCTCGAGGTGCGAGAAACGGAAGATGCTCCCATGCACAGAGCTGGAGTATGAACATCGCACCACCAGCTTGTTTCGCTCCCAACTTCGAGCAAGTACACAACTCTCGGTAGATCCCAGCCAAGACGGCCGACCCCCAGCTTTTTTGCCCGATCTCGTCCCAGTCACCGAGGAGCATATTTAACCACATGCCTTGTATCCACCGGTTTGACTTGTCGGGGAACAGAAACCCACCAACCAAGCCAATTAGGTAGACACGTGCATACCGCTCCACCTGATCTTCAGGAGTATCCGGGCCTATATTAACCTCCATCTGGATGTGGTCAACAAGCCACGGGATCGATTCTTGCCCCGCATTCAGTGGTGGATGCCCCTGACCTTCGACGGGCGTGGTGGTCGGCATGTTGAACCCCAAACGTTGTTGAATCAATGGCCCCCAACCATCTTCTGGTTTTCTCGAGTTGTCGATGATGGCATCTCCAGTGATCGGGAGCCCGGTGAGGATGGCAACATCTTTGAGGGTGATCGTCATTTCACCCTCGGGAAAGTGAAAGGTATGCAGCTCGGGGCGCCATCGCTCTGCCATTGCCGTCAGCAGATCATTGTCAATATCAAGCCTCATAAAGTGCCTCAGCATGTGCAATCCCGTCCTCTCTAGATAGGGCTGCAGTCGAGCATTCCAACGGGGCAATCGACATGTCCCTCGATGACTGATGGGAATAAGTGATTCCTACAAAACAAAAAACACAATATTGTCAGTCAATAGAAAGAAAAATAAAAACTTTAAAACTGTTGAAATAATTTTAGTGTGTCTACCGGATTATTGTTCCAAATTGAACGGGAGCGATGTTGATCTTGCCCGGTTAAATACCTTCAATCCCTTGGGCCAGGATCGATATACAATCTAGGGTCGTATATCTCAGCACCCATCTATAAAAAAAATATGAAATCAAATCAATTTAAATTTTAGCACCCATGTAAAAAAAATCACAAAAGAATAAAATAAATTTACGTACTCTCAAAGCCTCTTCGTCCATTTTTTGCCGAAAAGCTAGCGAGAGTATCGACAAAAAACAAAAACTCTAGTAATTCTTTCTGATGCGAAAGATCGGACTTAGCCGCAACCACAGAGCATACTTAGAACGAAACTAGAGTGAAGTAATGGAGGGAGAAAGAAGTATAAAATTTGGTGGTGTGGTTTGGAATGGGGGGGGGGGGAGTGGTATTTATAGGGATGAAGGGAGGGGAAGGAGGCGCTGGAAATTTAAAGCGGCAAATCACCGCTTTCCTCGGCTGCAGTGACATAACCGCTCTGGTCAAAGGCGATGATGGGCGGATCGCTGACGTGGCGAGGCGTGAAGCGTCGGATTGTGGAGAAAAACCACAATCCGCGCCTCACCGCATCCGACAGCAGCGGTGAAGGGCGCGGATGGCGCGGATGGCTGACGTGGCGGGGCGGGGCTATCACCGCTTTCGTCTTAGGCGGTGAAGTCCCCGCTCCTCGCCACGTCAGCGATCCGCGCCAACTTCACCGTTTTGCCCATCAACGGTGATAAATGCTTCACCGTTTGTCTCATCAACGGTCAAACTATCACCGCTTTTGTTTAGGGCGGTGATAGCTTCACCGTTTTGGACCAAAACGGTGATAGCATCACTGTTGTTGTCAAAAGCGGTGATAGGCATCACTGTCTTGGACAAAGACAGTGATGTTGAAACTGCTGTATTTTGGGGGGAAAGTTTATAAGTATTGTATTTGAGGAATTTTTTTTAATAATTAGAGTATTTTGGGATTTTTTCCGATAGAATGTGAAATGGGGTAATCGATCCCCCACAAATTGAGCTCGTTGTCGGCGGAGAATCGGGGGAAGTGAAGAGAAGATGTTGAAGAGTTATTTTTATTGTTATTATCTTAATTGTTTTATTAAATAAAAATTAAAATTCCATGTCAAATGCCACGTCAACGCTGACTGGATTTTTAGTTATATACTAACGCTCAATAACGGAATATTAGTTCAGGACCGAAATGGAATATTGAATAGTTTAGAATACAAGTGACTCTTTTTTTTTTATAGTTCGAGTTTTCTAATGATATTTGGCCAAGTATAACTAGTGGCTTATATTATGGTAAGAGGGGAATTCATAAATTGTTCCATGTACTATGTGGGTTGGCTTGATATAGAAAAGCATCAAAACTAGTGTGTGATATGAGTTCATATGGATGATATATCACTCCACATACAAGCATAAAGATTTGTACACACAAATTTTAGTTCGTATTTTGTTAACATTAATTTTTTTTTATTTCGGATCGCAATTCATCTATACCTCATTGATTTTTTCGTTCTTTGTTTTTATTTACCAACTTTCTTCGCACAAGAAAGAAACAAAAATAACGGCGATGAATCAGGACTTCCAATGATATGAGAAATAAGCGTGCAGGTTTTTCTTAATTTGTTTAACGAGTTCATAAACAACCTAATAAATAGGAGAATCTCAAAGTAAGGAATTTGGGTTTGTCTGATCATTAGTGATCGTTTGTTTCTTCTGAATCGCTAACTATTCTTTGTACCGTTGAAGTGGAGATGGATATGGGAAAGGTTGAAGTAATAGCAACAGTAGGGGAAGAACAAGGAAACCAAAGTACAAGAGGAAAGGTACTCGCATCTTGGATTTTTCTATTACTGATCAGTACACTCGTGAACTTTGAGTTCTCCTTTCTGCTATTTACAACATTTCAAGACTTTTGGAAGCTTGGCCACCATTTTCTTTTTTTCATGGCTAATATAACAGCCTTCACATCTCTTCCATCTATCCTAAGCCATTTTGCCCTTGTTTGGGGTGAAAAATCTCCGGGTTGCGTATGGGGGCGCTACGCTAGGTCTGCAGACCTCATCTTTGTCATCCTTGTCTCTCTCGTCTTTGGGTATAATAGTTCCAGTCATCGACGTGATCTGGATCCATGGATTCTATTTGGATTGATAGCTTTCAATATCCAAACTCACATATTCGTTAAGTACCGATGGAAGGTTTTGGATTATCATGTAAGCGATAACATGGTGGCAGTCGTGTTGCAAGCTTTTGCTTACTACAATGTGGTGATGCTCCTTCATGGAACAACAACCCAACGGCATAGTGAACTGATATATAGTATTGCAGCTGTGTTTATCACGATGATGCCCTGTGGAGCTGCAGTTTTTTACACATTCTCTTCAGATCCCGTTTTAGATAGAATTGAAGATATTCGGTGTTTCGTTAGATTTGATCGTAAACATAGCGTACACGCTTAGTTGAAGGAGTAGTTGCCACTTGCCACAGGCAGCTATCCAACCTAAGTCAAGAGAGATGTGTATGCAGTGTCTAAGAAACTTATCCAAGATAACAACCCAAAATGAAGCTTCAGAAGATATTGACACGAGATCTTCCCTCTATGATCATAATTCATAAGATCTTTTTTTTTTTTCATTTGAGTATTCTTTAACATTAGCTATATTGATAGCTCTAGATTTTTTTTCTTTCTTTTGATAAATGTATTATTGTAGGAAGAAATAATTTTCGATCTTGATTTTTTCACATAGTGGATAGTACCGGCCCACGTTTGGATCACATATGTTGGGATAGTGCCGGCCCACGTTTATATCATTGCCTACTACTACGCTACGACTGTCCAGTCCTTCTTAGCCCGGCCCATGTCCAACCCATATCTATGGGCCGGTGAACCCATTTAATTTCTTGCTAACATGTGCCTCGTCTACAGTGCCACCCCCGCCACTACGCCCACCATGTCATTGTCAACATCCTTCCTTGTCTTAACAATTAACAATTTTCAGTACAATCCCTAAATTCCCTTTCCTCTTCCATCCACCGCCGTCCGCCGACCTCTGGAAATGGAGCCTTCACTCTCCACCGGCGGGGCTAAGCTACGTCTCATGTGCAGTTACGGAGGCCAGATAATCCCGCGACCTCAGACCAAGTCTCTCTTCTACGCCGGCGGCGACACCCGCATCATCACACTCCCTACCACCGCCGCCAATCCCACCCTCCCCACTCTCGCCGCCCATTTGGCCGCCTCCCTCCGCCTCGGGACACCGTTCACCCTCAAATACCAGCTCCCTTTCCACGATCTCGACTCCCTCATCACGCTCTCCACAGACGAGGACGTCGCCATCATGCTCGACGAGCACAACCGCGTCTTCCCTGCTCCCGCACGAATCCGATTGTTCGTCTTTCCGGCCAAATCCGCCACCGTGGCAGGCGCGAAGCCGGCTTCCAACGCGGCGGAGCTAAGCGGCGGCGGGAGCGAGTTGACTCACCCCAAGAAGGAGAGCTGGTTCGTCGATGTGTTCGAGAGCGCCAAGATTATGCAGAGAGGAGGAGGGGCGGGCTATGCTGGCGAGGGTCACAGCAACAATGGCTGTGAACCGATTGTTGGGATTTGTGGAGCAGAGTCGATGGCTCTTGAAACCAGCTCGTCATTTGGATCGACTTCGTCTTCCACTTCTTCATCTAATTTGCCTGCCAGAGCCCAGATCGACGAATGTGGGGCTCGTCCAATTGATAATAGCAAGCTGAAATTGTCTTCCCCAGAATCAATTCTCAGGTAAGAATTTGCAACACGAAATCTGTAAAATCTTTTGGATTAGTTGGTGGTCGAACTAGTTCTAGGCTTATGTAGCTTGATGTGTTTGTTTGTACAGTGATAGAGGCTTAGGTGGAACTATGATCTCTCAGCCTCACCAGGATTCAGCTGGTTTTGCTGCAACAATGGATGGAAAAGTTGCCACTAATCACTCTGAGCTTGAGGGAGATACTCACCGAGCAGTTCAGGCCTCCACATTTCAGCCGTCGTTTCAATTCGATCAGCCACGGCAAGTGCATTATGTCCATTCCAGCGGCTTACAGTATGCGGCTCCAAACCCAGCTGGAGTAATGCAGATGCAGATGCCTTCATATTACATGATGAACAATCCTCCACTTTCACAGCAGCCAGTTTACTACCACCAGACCAATCAACCTCAGCCGATTTACTTCGTGCCTGCAACGCAGACTTATAGCAATGCCCCTATGCAAAGTGGTTTGGTTAGCTCTTCAACAGGGAATCTGCCTCCATTGCATCCAAGCTCTTCCATGAGCCCTGCCCAAGTGAGTTACAAGGTCGCGCCCGCTTCATCACCACAGGAGTTAGGTCTGCCAATGAATCTTCAAACTCAGCCAGCCTCTGCCATTGCTTCATCAGTGGATAAAGCAAGTTACAGAAGAGAAGAAGATGACGGAGATGCAACGCATGCCCAGATATACAAATCTCAGCCTCCTCCACCTCCTGCAGCACTACAATCTCAGTACCAAACCTTGGCCAAAGGTACGACGACAATGTTAGCTGATGCACTGGCACAGTTGCATACTGATAACATCAAACCACCGCTCATATCACAGTGAACGCACTCTGTTAGCTGCAGTGCCAACGATTTTCCGGAAGATTTGCATTTTTCTTGTTTTAATTGAAAGGTTGAGCTTTTCTTATGGTGTTTTGAATGTTGAAGGATGTTCTTTGTGTTGCTGAGTTGTAATAGCGGTTTGTTGTAGTTGTCCTGTATTATCACCACTGGGTTGCCATGTACCTCCAAATGATGTGTTTTGAAA